GATTTTTTATTTTTCATAACCACTGACGTAGTGCACTTAAATTACGCGGAGGAAAAACGTGTCTTATACTATTTTCCTAACATTACAGCGTATATGAGAGCACTGGTATAGCTTATAAATTAAAAACAGTCGTTTCATTTTAAACATAAACATTAGTTATAAAACTTTTACGTGTTATCGACTTAGAGGGGAATTAATTTGGATAAATTTAGTACATTATTATTAAAGAATTTGACAAAAACTTGCTGGTTACTTATTTCATTCATTATAATTTTTATTTCGACCTTTTTTACATACCTTAAAGCAAATCACATACATACATATCAACAAAAATACCTTAATCATGCATAGTAAAAAAAACTTAACGCTATTTTTTTTGAATATTTCTTAACGTTACTATGAAATGACTAACATCTATCTATAATGTAATAAATACTAACACTAAAACTAAGATTGTATTTGAAAACTAAAATATATTGAACACATTTTTTTATATAATATATATTTATTAAAATGTTTTATAAGAAAAAAATAAAAAAAAGATACCATACCTTATAATATACAATAATTAATAACTGGAGTGATATCACGTCTGAGATCTTAGATTAAATAGACATAATATGTATGTATCACGTGTAAAGTAAATAAAAAAAATGTTATTACGAACACACAGATTTTAAGAAATTTTATGACATAAACAATGGGATGTGAGATAGCTGATAATATTTAAAAGCTAGATTCAGAACCAATGTCGCAACCTTTTCAAGGCTCAAAGAACACAGGCAGTACCTTAGGTTCTATCAGTTGACGTTTGCGGTTTGACCTGAGCGTGCGTAGTATCGCGTGCATCGCGTGCATCGACTGCGAAATAAGTAAGTATCAATAGAATTAATTTTTAACTATGTATTTATTTATTTAAACTCATTTTAAAATTTATGTTACTGGGTAAGCAGGGAAAATTCGCAATAGTATATAGAAACTAAGCAATAGTGCTTAATGACATTTATTTACATTTTCATTTACATTTTAAAACTAGGTAAATAGCTTAGTGACATCCGAAACAAAACTTTTTTTTTCATAATTATTACGTGATGGTACTATACTTATTAATACTATCAATTTAAAAGCCTCCTCCTTTTTGGAAGTCAGTTAATTATAGGATAATGGGTGAATTTTTCGTCCAAGTAGTCTGAATCATTGTAAATCGTCTAACAAACACCGTTGAACCAATACCAATGGATCTAAAAAATGTATATAAAAATATAACTTTAATTTTTTTTAAGGAGATGAGAAAAACATTGAAAAATGTGTTGTGTTAGATTTATTAAAGTAATTTTTTATATGTTTTGAGGATCTTTACAAAAATTATGCTGCCAGATGATAGAAAATATTGTGTTTAAAGTCTCTACGTACAATATTTGTGATAATTATTTTTACGTATTTGTTTTATTATTGAGTCTTCATAGACTTGTTCATACACCAGACCCACCAAACTTTTGTCCGTGCCTTTTTTATGCTTTTGTTTTATTTTGAGTATTTTTTCTGTATTAAAAATTAAGAGCTTTTAATTAAAGAATTAATGCGTTTATAGAATTCTGGTTAGATGAGCTTTTATGGCTACTATTTGGAGCTTTAAGAGAAGTAGAGCTGCAAGTTGATGATGCGGTCTCAGGTCTTCTTTGTATATCTTTATAGATACTGACATTATTGGTGTAAATTTACATATGTTTAACAATAGAAGCAAAATTATTGTTATTTATAGAAAATATATACATTTTAGTGTATATTTTTATAGAAAGTTGAAGAATATTGTGAAAAACAAATAGGTATATTGATTAGGTAAGTAGAGCACGTCCTAGTATCAGTATTAATGTTACTATATAATATATAGTAATAGATAAATATGTACATAAGTATCTAATATTTGACCATTATCATAATAAGAAGAGGCAGTGGTAGCCCAGTGGTAACGCGTTCGCTTGGGAAATCGAATAAATCGAGTTTAATCTTGGGTCTCGGACTTCTGATATTTTCATATACCAATCATTTTTAACAACCAAGTGTCTTACGGTAAAGGAAAATATTTGAGGAAACCTGCATGTCTGATAGAACTTATTTAGTTTTCGAAAGACATGTGCCACTGTGCACTCAGCTAGCGTGTCGGACTATGACTTGATCCCCCTCGTACTGAAGGGAGGATCGTTCCCAGCAGTGGGACATTAAAAAGGACTGAATACAAAATATATACACACTAATATTAAAAAACCTATTATACTAACTACCATTTACTGTAAAAAAAAAAAACAAAAATATTAATTATATTATCCAAAGAAAATTAACTCTCAGTTTCAGACAAAGATCACATATTCAGACAGTATTGACTGTCAATCACGGAAGCCTTTCTTACATTGTAGCTATATCTATATATAATTTTTATGCAAATTTGAATGTATTACGTCTGCTACTATATAACAAACAATAGAAGCCATACTTGGTCTTGAACTCATAATGATTAAACTATTAAAATTCATAGCATGTTCATTTTTAAACGAACTTTTAAGACCGATATTCTATTGTGAAGTATGTTGTTTAGCCAGATAGAAATATCAAAAGTTTTGTTATTTTATTAAAGCAAAATATAACATATCCTTAAAAATATTTAAAATTTATTATCTTACTAAGGATTTTAGCTAATTAAAAAGACATTTTCACAACTCAAATTTATGTAACGACTTTGCTTAGAATTGCTGTTACATATGCCGTGTTAATACATACATATATGTTTAATCAAATAATTTTTAGTTAATATTGTAAGTGTTAATTTATGATTATTATAAGTAAATACTTCTAAGTCGCATGAATTGCGAATCTTTTTGAATGCGACATCTCTCTTATCATTTTAATTTGAAGTCGGTATACCTATTGAATAAAAACGTTATTATGAATATATTTACTCTATTTGTTTGTAAAATGGCGGACATTTCATAAAAGTACATGATGTTAACAAAAAAATAATCTTCTATATACATAAATAAAAATAAATGACCGTTTGTTTTTCCTCTATGCTTCTCTAAGCCACTGATCCAATTGTGATAAAACTCTGATGGATTATTATATATACGCCTGTGTACGTTCCTGGCGCAAAAAAAAAAAGAATTTTTCTTTGGTCGTTTTACTTATATGCGTTCCTAAATATTTCAAACTTAGGAATGCACCCGAGCGAAGCGATGTTAAGTCGTTAATATAATAATAGCAGACTATATGACTTTCTAAATATATTTTTTAAAATAAGTTACCTACTTGTTACTATAAACTAAAACGAAAACCATTTACAGAGCAACTCTAAACTTTTTACTTAGCAATTGCTATTGATCAAGCTACTTTCTAATTCAAATAACAGAACACTGAAAAAGAAATCACTTGTTACGCTTTTTATTTGAACGATACTATTATATAAAATTAAAATATGAACCGAGTAAGTAAAAGTTTTAAAAAGGTACGATTACTAAACTAAATAGAGGAATGTCGTCTAGTTCTACTGCTTTGGATTGCGAAAGATTACGTTTTGCAACTGCAATGTAAAGGTACATTACCTTCCGCTTATGAAACTTCAATATATAATCAGTTCTAAACATTGCGAAGATTTTGTTTTATTTTTGGTTATTTGGCAATAATAGCGTTCGATTGTAATCACCTTTCAAATGATAAGCGCATTCGGTTTGATTTAGAAATCTTTGAAGAGCAATCATTTCAAAATGTACTTTCAATACAATCTTTTGCCCGGATTTCTTAATTTTTATATGTATTATGAGATGCTTGTATTATAGTACGTACCTATTTGTATCCTTTGCAATGAATCTTTTATTTAAAAAGTCATATAACACAATTTTCTACTACCAGCAGACTCGGAGAATTTAATTACTTATGAACAAATAGAGAAACATGACGAACATCTATGAGGATTTTATTTTATACTAGCGCTTGCTTACCCATACAAACTTTCATTCCCATTCTCGCCCCCTTAAGGGATGATTTCCGGGATAAAAACTATTTCACTCACTCACTCACTTTTCATATCAGGATATTTAAAAAAATCTTATTTTAGTAAAAAAAATCTTTTAATTTTCTTCTATACAAAAATTGTCTTGGCAATAACAAACACAAAAAAAAAAGAATTATCTAATTTGTTGCAGTCTATCGGAAGCGTGTACATATATTTCGGTGATTCATTTTTATTTATATACTAGCATTGCCCGCGGCTCCGCCCGCGTTAATATGGCCAAAACCAAATTCTTAGGTTTTATATATTAGTATACTCGTATTAGTATATTAGTTGACCCGGATAACCAGCTATTACCATACCAAATTTCTTCAAAATCCCTCCAGTGATTTTTCTGTGATGCGGTCACAGATATACAGACACACAAAAATTCTTAAAACTATAGGTTCGGCTTCTGTTAGCGATAATAATGTCTATTTCAATAAGATTTTCTAAAAAATATTTAATGTACAGATTTGACTTAGTTACAATTTTATTATAATAATGTATAGATAACCCTAAAAATCTAAGTTTGTAATAATATGATACTATATTCATAATAGCCTTAAATTAAACTCATATACAATACAATTTCTTATTAATCAGTGATTAGATTAAAATAAAATACGTTTTGGCAAATATCAATATTTTTCAATGATTAGATAGCCTAAAAGTTTTATGAAGTTACAGGATGCATTTACCGCTATTAAAAACAGTTAAAAAATTATTTTAATATCTCTGTAATAAAATAAAAAAACACACATTTATTGTATATTATAAACTATTAAAATTTCAATACAAAAATACCTACTTATATAATAATACTTGTAGCTTTTAATTATAACAGCCAGGAAATACTCGGTATAAATGGTACTAAGCTAAAAACTATCTAGGTAGTAATATGTTCAGCTTATTCAAAATTCATATTTTTAAGGATTTTCTTTTCTTTTAGTTCAACAAGATGGCGTCAGCAGCGACTCTAGTTCAGCCAACGGGGGAAATGTGGAAGAAGATCCGTGTAGAATTAAACGAAGATGTAAACACCAGAGATCAGGATCTCGCTGCTATTAAGGAATGGCTTAAAAAACAACCGCATCTCCCTAATGAATGGGGTATGTTAGTTTTTGTTATCTTGATAAAGTATTACTTTTATATAAATTTTATATAATATAAAATTAATAATAAATAATAATAATAACAGTTAAAAGTAATATTAAATAATACCATATTCAATTATAAAAGTTATTAAAATTGGACCCAGTTGTGCATAAAACAGCCATTTGCGTAAAAGTACCAACAGAGTTATAAGCATTTTTCTGTCGATAGTTGCACTTGGGTTATGTTTTGTTTTTCTGGTTATTTTAAAATTGAACAATATTTATATAAGTTTTGTTTATTTTTATAATTATTTTATTTTTTATAATAAAATGCTTATGCTTATGCTCTGTAGGTACTTTTACGCACGTGGCTGTTTTTTGCATAACTGGGTCCAATTATAAAAATGTTTAAAATTAAAATTAACAAATATTGTAAGGTACTTTGGTGCTGTTTCAATTTTGTTATTTTGTGGGTAGGCTGTATGTAACAACTATATGTATAATTCTTTTGAGACATCTAAAACCTTAGTTTCTCCCGTGACCATGATTGCTGTAAAGCATTCGAAACGTCGGGAACCAAAAATCAATATAAATCCGCGAAAAAACCCGAAATGATAGTTTTGTTTAAAAAGTATACTTTCGGATTTTTTTGGCGGAAATATTTTGATTTTTGTTTGCCGACATCTGGAATGCTTTACAGCAGTCATGGTCACAAGAGGGACTAAAAGTCTGACTTAGAGTCTCAAAATTACAATAAATCCGCAAAAAAATCAAAAGAAGAAAATATGGTTTTACTTAAAATCTTGATATACTAATTTATTTTAAGTATAGGTATCTTAAATAATGCGGAGTTTATAATCCTTGACGTTCTAAGAGCATTTAGGTGGCTTACTATAGTAATTAAGAATAACAATGATGTTACATTATGCATTATATCAATGGAATCGCTTTTAACTGTAAAACGATTTCACAAGTGAAAGAAATACTAACTTGCATAAAAATAATTTTAATTAACATAATACAGCTACTATAAAATTACTTTAAAAACTTGTAATATTTTTTTATCACATTTATAACCATTTTACCAAGAAGCAGTGTCTTTTAAAAATAAAAATGAATTGTACGACGAAGATATCACATTGCATACACACAAAGAACCATATCAAATAAGTCATAGTTAATACTAGCGACTCACCCTCGCTTCGCTCGGGTTCGTTCCTAGGTTGCTTCCACATACAAACTTTCACCCCCATTTTCACCCTCTTAAGGCATGATTTCCGAGATAAAACTATCCTATGACCTTCCTATGGTCTCAAACTACCTTATTATCAAATTTCAACTAAATCGGTACAGTAGTTTTGGAGCCAATTCGATACAAACAAACCAACAAAACAACATTTTCCTCTTCATAATATTAGAACAGATAAACAAAGAAGTTTATCACAAAACTACATTTTGTACATACATAATTGCAAAAACAAGACAATACAGCTTGTATTCAAAACAATATATTATTGTAATTATATTTTAATATTGCTTCGGGTTTTACCAGATGAAGGTCGGATTATGACATTTCTTCGAGGCTGCAGTTTTTCTTTGGAAAAATGCAAAAGGAAACTGGATATGTATTTCACAATGAGATCAGCTTGTCCCGAGTTTTTCACCGATAGAGACGTTAGTAGACCGGAACTAGCAGAACTTATTACTAAAGCGTAAGTAAATTGATTTATATGAACTTTAAGTACTAACCTTGTGGTATATTTGCTTGAATTTCGCAGTATGTTGACAAAGATTTCAAGCATGTTAGGACATCCTTTTGACTAGTGGAATTACTTGTTTGTCAAAGATGTCCCTGAACTCTAGCAAATATTTTTTATTCTTTCTACGTTATATTGGCGAAGTAAATTCTGTTTTAAGTTTAAAACATATGAGCAGTTAAATTTAAATATGTGGATAATAAATTTTCAACATTCGTTGCTTTAATTTGACTGTATTTTTAACCGACTTCCAAAAAGGAGGAGGTTCTCAATTCGTAGGAATCTTTTTTTTATGTATGTTCACCGATTACTCGAAGACGCCTTTTTTTTTTAACGTTGGGAAATGCATTTACGCACGACGTGTGGGACTCACCGGCGTACTACAGCCAGTACTACCCACTAAAACCCAACAAAACCTTCCCCCGTCTTAATGGGGCGTCGCAGGATCGCTTACGCATTCAACTACGACGCCCCGACGGCAGGTCTGCCGAAGCAGACCACCACAACCATGGGGTTGCTCCACAGTCCACTCTGCTATCAGAGAAGTACCAGGAGCAACCCGCATGGTACACCGCCCCCCGAAGAGGGCCACCTCCCACCGCCCACCGAAGTGGGCAACCTCCCTGTGCGTTTCTTAGCTTCGCGCCCGGTTGAATTGCCGGGCACTACTGAGCCCCCCCACCACGACAAGGTGAACGCACGTTGGGGGGGACTCGAAGACGCCTGAACTGATTTAGAAAACTCTTTTTTTGTTTCAAAGGGTATTATACTTCCCAGGTGGTCCCGTTTAAATATTATTGAAATCGGTCGAGTGGTTTTTAAAAAATCAACATTAAATTATTTTTAAATAAATGGCTTAATCGAATATATTATTAAAAAACTTTCTTCTTACAAATTACCTGCTTGCTGCTGGCAACGACTTCAAAAATATCTGATTAGGTATTTATTTTAAGTGAAAACCTCCGTTTAGTTATTTTGTTATTTTTTTACTTTTTTTGCCTGTTTTTTAGTCGGTTTTTCTTTTAAGTTTTTACGTATTTCTAATTTTACTGATTCCTTAAGAAACCAATTAGAAATCCTAAAAGCTATATAAAAGCTATCTAATCCATCCGTAATGGAATTTCTTTTATTGAAATTTTTCTTTTGGAAAAACTGTTGTTATTATTATTATTAATAATATATTGTTTATATACTTACATATAAAATCTAATTTTTTTGTAGACAAGGGGCTCCTTTGCCAGGATTAACAGCAAACGGTCGCCGAGTGACAATCTGTCGAGGTAAAAATATTTTATGATATAATAATATTAAAACAGCGCGAACACTTGTGCACTATAATATCTCCTGCGCAATTGGCTAGTCTCAATTAGATTGGCCGCCGTGGCCGGAATCGGTCAGGAGAACATCATCATCAATATTAAAACAATTTATTATCCACCCAAAATTGAAAATTGAAAATATACAAATTGATAGAAAAATGTAAAAAAGACGACCGTATCGCTCAAAAATCTATTTGTTCCGTTGCAATAATACATATATCCGTTACGAACTCTAGCGGAAACGAATTACTGACAAAAAAATAATGATTATTTGGGCTTTATGTAAATAATTGTCGTAAGACACTTCATTTTTATATAAAAGTAAATATTGTGAGAAAAAGTAACAATGGGACTTGTTTTAATGTAATTTCAGGCCTGGACAAGAACGTTGACCCTGAGCAACTAAATAATATCTTCAAAATTGCTTTAATGATTGGGGATATTCGACTTAAAGAGGAATTAGAGGGAGTGGGTGGTGATATATACATTCTAGATGCATCTGTAGTCACTCCAAGTCATCTAGCTAAAATATCCCCTTCTGCTATCAAGAAATTTTTAATTTGTGTGCAGGCAAGTACAATATTTTTGATACAAAATACATAATTAGGTCTTTTATAATCTTAAATTATATATAGAATTATTTTCTATTAAAATTAATAAAAAAATTATTAGGCATTTTATCCCTCAAAAGCTTTATATAAATAGGCAAAGACAAAACGGTTCAGTACCTTTTTCTCCTCTGTTTGTCAACCGATTTTCTTTTTTTTTTCTTTTGTTTAGTAGCTATTGATGAGTTTTAGTCGTATTCAGACCTTTTTAACCGACTTCCAAAAACGAGGAGGTTCTCAATTCGTCGAAATCTTTTTTTTATGTATGTTCACCGAATACTCTAAAACGCCTGAACCGATTTGGAATTTTTTTGTTATATTTAAATGGGTATACTTCCCAGATGGTCCCATATAAATTTTATCGAAATCAGTGGAGCGGTTTTTAAAAAAATCAACAATAAATATATTTTTTAAACAAATTGTTTAATCGAATATGTTATTAAAAAGTTCCTTCCTACAAATTACCTGCTTATTACGTCTACACTAAAAATATAAAAATAAAAACTTAAAAAAAACCGACTTCCAGGCACTAAAACGTAAAAAAATAACTTAACGGGGCTTTTCATTTAGAATAGATACCTAATCAGATATTTTCGAAGTCGGTGCCAGCAGACAATATTTTAAGATATAAATATCTAATAGGTAAATATGTATTTTACGTATCAAAATATATATTTAGATTTCCTATTTTCCAAGCGAGCACGTTTCCACTGGACAACCAATGCATAATTATTAGAATCAGCTACTTTTTTTAGTATTATTATTCATACATTTTTAATAATTATGTTCCGACCATTTGGCGAACACTATAAATTGATAGGAATCAGGAATATACAATAGGAAGCATGAAAATTGATAGGAAGATTAACTAAAGTACCTTGAAATTGGATTTAAAAAACTAAATATAATTTAGAAAGAAAAGTTAAGCTTGTTGCTTCGAAACATTATTTTGAATAGTAACATTCTCATTTTAATTCTCAAATTGACTTAAAACTGCATACTCATACCACAGATCATATCATACATTGCAACTGCGTGAAAAGATTCTTATCTTTAAAAGATTAATTTAAAAGATTCTTATTAAGGAAATGCATATATTAAATAAAATAAAATATTTGTAAAATATTGTATTTTTCTGTTTATTGCTCTAAAAATATTTTATAATTATTATTATTCAAGTTTTTTTATATCTTATGTATTTATTTCAGGAAGCGTACCCAGTTAAGTTAAAGGAAGTGCACATTGTTAATACATCTCCAGTAATAGAAAGTATTATAAACTTCGTGAAACCATTCCTGAAGGATAAAATTAAAAATAGAGTGAGTATTTATTTAATAAATAATAAAATCTGCCAAGTTTGAGTTGATCTCACATACCTCGGTTTGTATTTTTACAAAATATTACATATTTGTGTTATGACTTTATCATTAGCATCCGTGAACTTCTGAGATCTTCTATCTACTTACAAACAAATTTTACAGGAGGAATATAAAACGAATTTATTCATTTAAAAAAAAACGTGGAAAGTTCTGGTAAAACAAATAAGTATTTAGTAAGTAGGTTGGTATTTACGTCTATTTATGATATCATAATTAAATGCAGTTAATATCATGTTGTTTTTGACAAATGATGGTATTAAAATTACGTAAAAAAAAACTTTTGGTCAGCGGTTTAAATACTTATTTATTTATTTGAAAAAATAAACAATGACTTACATACCTAACAACCAATACACGATTTTCTTTACAACTGTCGCAATACGGAAGAGTTTTTTTAATCCTTTACATGACAAAGACAAAAATACATTACTTATGTAATCTATTATTATAAATTATTAAATATAATTTTATACTCATTCGGCGATCACTAAGATCTAAACAGTAAACTAGGCCGAGCGTGTATCTCAGATGTTAGTCTCTTCCAGTCGTCAAGCCAAAAATACTTTAAGATATGAATATCTAATAGGTAAATATGTATGTATTTCACATATCGAAATAAATATATTAGTCCGAAAAGTTAATCCGAAAAGATAGTTTTATTTAATAATGTCAAACATTCGCGTAAATCTAAGAAAGTATTAAATATATTAGATTTACGATTAGAATAATAAATTATTTTTTTAAATAAATTGCTTAGTCGAATATGTTATTAAAAAACTTTCTTCAAAAAAATTAAAAAATAAAAGCTTAAAAAAAACGACTTCCAAGCACTAAAATGGAATATATTTCTAAACGTATCGAAATATATTTCAATCGGAAAAATACAACATAGATTTGCTTTGCATCGGCTCGCACCGACATCGAAAATATCTGAGTAAGGTATCTATTCTAAATGAAAACCCCCTTTAAGTTATGATTTATATTTTAGTGCCAGGAAGTCAGTTTTTTTTATAAGTTTTTATCTTCAATCAAATTTAAATTTTATTTGTGTCTGATTAGAGGAAACCCTTTGTTTTATTTTTATCTTATTTTTTAAATCTCTTCATTTTTTAAATTAAACTATCTTTTCGGATTATTTCGCGGTTTTACGCGAAAATTTTACATTTTAAATAAAACGATCTTTTCGGATTATTTATTTCATAACTCCTTTTCTTCTTTTTTGTGTTTTTTTAATTTTGTTCTTGTCGTGGTATTTTTGTTTGTTTAATTAGATAAATGATTTTACGCTGTGCTTACTTTTGTTAATATGTGTATCATTAAGTTTCTTATCATTTACGATGCTTGTGAGGCGGGCGCTAATAACTGCGACAAAGTTATAAACTAATGCAGTTATTATCGTTAAGTTGTTTTTGTTATACATGTACTTAACTAGTGTTTTAAATAAATAAATCTATACATATAATAAAATTGTAACTAAGCCGAATTTGTACATTAAATATTTTTTGGAAAATCTTATTGAAATAAACATTATTCTCGATACAGATGCCAAATCTATAGTTTTTAGAATTTTTGTCTGTCTGTCTGTCTGTTACTGCATCACGAAAAACTTCTGGACAGATTTTGATGAAATTTGGTATGATGATAGCTGGATACTTTTTACCGCGGGAAAATATCTCATTTCTGAGAAAAAATACAAAAACTACAATGTAAGAGTATACTAATATGTAAAACCTAAGAATTTGGTTCTTGATCATCTAAACGCGGGCGGAGCCGCGGGCAATGCTAGTAAATAAATAATATCTGTTTCATGCGTGCAACGTTAAACCATAACATTGGATACTAGGATGTCATGAATACGTAAGAAATCGATTAAATTGCATCCACTCACACATAGTATAAGAAACGGCTATATAAAAGTGTATGTAATTTGAAATATATATTTAAACTATTTTACTTATAAAATGAACATGGATAACTAAATGAAGTCATTTATATTGAAATAAATTACATTTTATTAAAAAAACAATAATGAAAAAAAAACTAGCTTGTTTCCTATCCTTATCTGTGTTTTTTATTGGTTTTGTATGGTCCAATCTTGACTAGAATTAATGAGTATCTAAAAAAATCACATCTATACTAATATTATAAAGAGGTAAAGTTTGTGAGTTTGTGAGTTTGTGACGTTGTAGGGGGTAATCTCTGGATCGACTGAACCGATTTTCAAAATTCTTTTACCAATAGAAAGCCACGTTCTTTCTGAGTGTCATAGGCTATATATTAACCTGAAGAATGAAAAGGCTTTTTCGTGGTAGTCGGATTTGCAAAGTAAGTCGGAGAAAAAACGGTCGAACGAAAACGTTTCTTACGAACGCTGCCTTAACGATGAGAGATATATGATTATGTTCTAGAGTTGTAGAGCTTAATAATGCCTACAAAAAAGTCAGCGACAGCATATGTCTAACTTTTATATTTAAGTCACAAAAAGTAGTTTTTTATATTAAAAAATAATTTAAATCGGTAGGTCATGTTTATTGGTCATATTATCAACAATTATGAATTCTTATCAAAATAAGTAAATTTATCGTCTAAAATGTTTAAAATAAAAGGCTTTTCCCTTCTACTGCATATAATTTGGACAAATGGTTAAAGAGATAATACAACATATTCGTAGGTATGGACGAACCCGAGAGAGCTGTTTGTCTGTTTTTCTCTTTGTACGGGCTAATCTCCGGATCTATTGGACCTATTTAAATGAAATTTTGCATGGTGGTACCTTATATCCCCGGGCAACATCTTAGATACTTTTCATCCCGGAAAATGAAAGTTCCCGTGGAATAGTTAAAAAACTATAACAACTTATACAGCTTAGTACACAAAAACTACTGATTAGATTTTAATGAAACTTTACAATAATATAGTTCATACATGACAAAAACAAATCAGCTACTTTTCATCTCGGAAAATTAAAGAGTTTCCGTGGGATAGTCAAAAAACTATAGTAACTAATACAGCTTAGTACACAAAAACTATTGATTGGATTTTGATGAAACTTTACAATAATATAGTTCATACATCAGAATAACAAAAAGGTAACTTTTTATTCCTAATGTACTTTCCCCGTGGGATAGATGTTTTTGTTTATTTGTAACGTATTACGTACACAACATAGACCCCAAAACAATAGTTATTAAAAAAAATGCCTGTTTGTCTGTTTGCCTGTATGTCTGTTTGTTTGTTTTTGTGTACGCGTTTCACGCGAAAAGTAATGTACCAATTTCAACGAAATTTGGTGAAGTGATAACTTATTACTCGAGTCAACATTTGGGGTATCTTTTGTATGTATGCATGTTGTATTCAGCCCTTTTTAACGTACCACTGCTGGGCACGGGCCTTCCTTCAGTACGAGGTGGATCAGGCCATAGTCCACCACGCTGGCCAAGTGCGGGTTGGTGGACTTCACATGTCTTTTGAAAACTTGCTAGGTTCTGTCAGACATGCAGGTTTTCCTTCACTGTTAAGACAAGTGGCAATTGTGTTAGAAATGATTCGCACATGAAAATATCAGAGGTGCGAGACCCGGGATTTGAACTTGCTTCACTCGGTTTCCCAAGCGAGCGCGTTACCACTGGGATACCACTGCCTAGGTACCTTTTACTTAAAGAAAATCTTTCTTTCCCACGGGAAAATACAACAATTGGTTTTATCGAGTCCTCCCTAGAAACGTTCCGCTGGCTAAGCCTTAAGACATACTCGTACATACGTCAAAACAGTATACTAAAAAATTGTAGGTCTTGAAAAGTCCTACAGAAAAGTTCTGAATAGTATATGTCTATCTCCTAAGTTACACTCGCAATGTTTATTCTTATCTATACCTATAATAAAACTTAGTCAAATCGTTTTGCGCGTTTCACGCAAAAAGTACTCAACCGATTTTAACTAAATTTTGTATAGTGATAAAACTTAGTACTCGGGTCAACATTTAGGGTACCTTTTACGACAGGCATCCATTCCCACGGGAAAACACAATAACTGGTTCTATCGAATCGTTCTTAGAAATTTATTGGGTAACGTTAGCTCAACCTTAAGAGATAGATCAAAACATTGTGCAAGAAAATTGTAAGTCTTAAAAAGGTCTATAGAAAAGTTCTACATAGTATATGTCTATCTCCTAAGGTACACTCGCTATAACTATTTTCATTATTATATATTACTGTTTTATTATACGTTATTTATTCTATCTGAATATACATATATGAATAATAAAACTGTAGAAGTCGAATGTCTGTACATAGATGGTAGAAAAAAATGCTGAAAACGAGTCAGTTCTCTTCTTACATCCCGTAAGTAGAGAAATAGAACAAATCCAGATTTTTTTTCGATTTTTTTTTGTTTCTCTGTCTGTTTGTCTGTTTGTACGGGCTAATCTCCGATACTATTGAACCTATTTAAATGAAATTTGATACTTTTCATTCCGGAAAATTAAAGAGTTCCCGTGGGATAGTTAAAAAACTATAGTAACTTATACAGCTCAGTACACAACAACTTATGCACCTAATTTAGTAAAATTTGGCATGCTGATACCTTATATTGCAGGTCAAACAACAGGTTACTTATTTTTATCCCGGAAAAATGAACGGTTCTCGTGGGATAGATCTGTTTGTGCTTTTCTAGGTGAACCCGAGCGAAGCGAGGGTGAGCCGCTAGTTATTAAATATGCGGGTAAAAATTATCCATATTTTTTATTTTTTTATTTTTAAGACCTTACTATGTGATGTTCTCCTGACCGATTCCGGCCACGGCGGCCAATCTCATTGAGACTAGCCAACTGCGCAGGAGATATTATAGTGCTCAAGTGTACGCGCAGACACAAGTGCACTCTCTATTCCTGTCACTCTCATACTCCGATGGGACGACTACTCGACACGACCGGTGAGAGATAAGGCGCAGGACCGACAGCTTTACGTGCTCTCCGAGGCACGGGGGTGAAACACCGCCAACTTCCCAACTCCGGGCTATTACTGAGTCTTTCTATACAGAAAGACTCAATAACTAAACTTGGCCCGACCCGGGACTCGAACCCAGGACCTCCAGGTGTGCAGCCGTACATGCTAGCCGCTACACCACCGAGGCAGTTAGCTGTCTAGTACTACTTACTTACTAGTCTGAGTCTATAGTATATAATACCTTACTATGTATATAATATGTTTGTATGACAAATAAGTAAAAAATATTTTTTGCAATGGACGAAATATAATAAGCTAGCTCTTTGACTATATTATATTTTGTGTCCTTTTCCGATAGATCCGCCTACTGTAGGCGGAGTCAGCGGGATGTTTTCATAAAACAGTGTATCTACACACTGACTAGAAAATGTTTTAAATTTTAGTTCTCTACAATATTATACCCAAAAATTTATGAAAATAGTAATGAAATCGAAATTGTACTAAAATGGTGTGGAATGAAATGAATCCAAACCAAAAATTATGAAAAAAGAAATAAATAGAAAGAAAACCCCCATAGTGCCTCAATTTAACAAGCTAAGGGATTTTTTAAATATAACCTAGGTACATGTTACCTTCATAATAAAAACTAACATAAACATAAATTTGGCAGTGGGAGCCCAGTGGTAACGCGCTCGCTTGGGAAACCGAGTTAAGCGAGTTCAAGTCCCGAGTCTCGCACCTCTGATATTTTCATGTGCGAATCATTTCCAACATGCTTACCACTTATATTAACGGCGAAGGAAAATATCGTGAGCAAACCTGCATATCTGAGAAAACCTAGCAAGTTTTTAAAAGACATGTGAAGTCCGCCAACCCGCACTTGGCCAGCGTGGTGGACTATGGCCTGATTCCCCTCGTACTGAAGAGAGGCCCGTGCCCAGCAGTGGGACGTTAAAAAGGGCTGAATACATACATGAAACGTAAATTACGTAATTGGATAGTTTAAACCAATAATCCTCTTACTTTTTATAAGCTGTCAAAATTCGATTCCCGCATAGAATTTGTATGGCAATTGCAGCAACTTGTAACATCAATTATTTGCCAATTTATTTGAACAGTTATTTAAAAATTAATGGGGTTTCATTTTTCAGGCCTTACTCGAGATTTTTTAAAAAGAACTATCAAATTCTATTATTTACCTTTTATATTCATTCAGGTTATAGTTTCATCGTTGAATAACTGTTTTGATGTTAAAAAAATCGGCCTTTATATGTATAGTGTAAACACTGCTTTATGATCGTAACCAAAACATGCGATACCAGGATAGCATAAGCCTATGAGAAATTGTAACTGCATTCACTCGCTCTCACAATATTTATTGACTGTTGTTTTTTCTAGATACTTCTCCACGATATTGTTGCTTTTTTTTATTTTAAAGCTGAAATCCGTTGAATCTAGCAAACTGAAGCGTTTACAGCATATTCGTATAATGACATTGACAGGCTAAAAAAGTTATTTTTTTAATGATACCGGCAAAATAACTATACTACTCACTACTTAAATCCAAAATTTAAAAAAAAGTTTCTTTTGATATACTAATCCCTAAAGGAGCTGTCGAGTGTCAAATTAAAAAAAATAACTTACGTCCTTATATTTATAAACTAGCGACTTGCCCTTGATTCGCTCGCATTCGTCTCCAATAAACCCTAAACCCAGGGTACGCGGATTTTGTTCACAATTTCATGGGTTTTAATTTTTATGAGCGGAACCCTGTTTTTTTTCTAAAATATAAGTTACCTAAGTTACTCCTTATAACATCAGCTATCTGCCAGTGAAAGTCCCGTCAAAATCGTTCCAGCCATTTCGGAGATTAGCCGGAACAAACAGACAGACAAAAATCTTAATAATTGTTCTTATTATTAACGCATATACATTAAAATTATGCATTTAGTAAAAAGCCTTTTATTTTGACATTACAAACAGACACTTAAATTTTATTTATCTATATAGATATAAATAAACAAATTAATTTATCACTCTCCTTCTCCTCTTTACTCCCGTAACATAAACATCAGATACCAGGGATTCATGGTCGTATAAGAGATTTAAACCTCACACATACATAAAAATATCAATGTATTATAATATATAAACAACTAACACAAGCGTAAGCAAATAAATGACAGGCGCAGGTTGCAAATCAAAACAAATAGTACCAGGCGAGCATAAATAGCATGGAGTTCATGCAACGTCGAGCCATTTCCATGTTTCACCCCACCTCTTAATAAAATTGGAGGTGGGGTCAATGTAAATACATACATACATTTTCCTGCAGTTATAGTAAACATACTCACACGACGCCGACGATACGTTTGGCTCAGTTTGTAGTAACACTACTTGCTGCGCCAGTGGTCGCGGGTTTTAGTCCCGCTGGGGGCATTTATTTGTGTAATGCGCACGAATGTTTGTACTCCAGTCATGGATATTTATATTTATGATATGTATGTATTAAGGTAATATATAATATGTGTAGTGTATCAACTATCTGGTATCAATAACACAAGCCTCGTAGCTTACCATGGAACTAGATGGTGCTGTCCAAACATATAATATCCTAATACTTGTAATAATAAAATTGTGTTAGTCAAACTATATCGAACTTCAAGAAACGCACATAGGTAATAGTGAACTAGTTATAGAACTATCTAATAAGGATTTTTTTTATTTTATTATAAGTTACTAGCGATTTAACCTTGCTTCGCTCGGGTTCGTCCCTAGGTATGTTATAACGCCTAGTATGGGGTAGATAAACTATATATTATATGATATTATATAGCCTATATCTAGCCTTCCTCAATAAACGGGCTATCTAATGCAAAAATATTTTTTTCCTAATTATGTTATAGTATTTTGTGTGTAGATACCGTTTCTAATATCTATGACTAAAGAGTATCTATCTCCTCCTTAGTATTTTCTGAAAAAATTTCAAAATGTTGGGAACAAAGAATCTAAAGTCTATACATATAGGCAAAGGCTGTCTGTTTGTCAACCGATTTTTTTTGTTTAGTAACTATTGACGAGTTTTATAAGTGTTATTAGTAAAAAAATATAACATATTTTTTAAAATAGATAGGTAAATTCATGAACGAATTAGCCACAATTCGTTCATGGGTAAATTCTATAATATCACTAACGGCTAACACTAGTCAAAATAAAACCACATAAAGCTGAAAAAATAATTTTATTTACTATTTTTATAAATGTGGCTCTCTATTAAGGAACAGACGGTCCAGTATATCTGTATCTTATACCGAGGCCGAGTCTATAGTTTATAATTTTTGTCCGTCTGTCTGTCTGTCTATCTGCGACCGCGTCAGTAAAAAACCACTAGAAAGATTTTAATAAAATTTGTTATGATCGCTAGTTATCCGGGTCAACATATAGGATACTTTTTACTGCGGGAAAATATCTCATCTCTGAGAAATCTATACTAAACGTTAAAACATAGAAAATATATATTTTAAAGGACACTATGGTTAAGTAAATAGGTATAAAGTTAATGTTTTTCTTTATTTTTCCTTTCAGATCTTCATACACTCAGATATGAACACGTTACACGAACACGTACCCAAAGATATGCTTCCACAAGAATATGGTGGCAATGGATGTTCTCTGGATGAAGTAAATGGTGAGTAAATACTGTAAAAACATTTTAAAATATAATAAAAATATTTATTTTGATATTTAGAATTTTTGCTATGTATCTAAATCTAATATTTTTACTCAAAATATATTTTCTTTTTTTATAAATTAGTAATTTATTTTACTCAAAAGCAATGAAATGAATCCTACTAATATTGTAAATGCGAAAGTTTGTGAGTATGTATGAATGTCTAGATGTATAGATGTATCTTTCACGCAAAAACTATTGAATGGATTTTAATGAAACTTTACAATAATATATCTCATACATCAGAATAACAAATAGGCTACTGTTTATCCCGGTAAAACGTACAGTTCCCGTTGGATAGACTTGTTTTTGTTTTAGCGCTAGTAGGTAAGTATAAAATTATTTCATAGTATTATTTATTTTTAAATGAAAATAAGGAAGTGACTACATAAAAAGAAACACAGTGAAAAAAATAATGTGAAAAATTTTGATCTTTAAAAAAATTACATATTTTTACACAATCATTACTTAAGTACTTTTTATTCTGGTAAACTTTGTTTTTTTCCCTAGAACATTATTACTCTGTTACCTAAAGTCGTGTCACTAATAACTTAAGTTTTCAAATATTTTAAAGGTAGGTATTATTTTATCTATCTATACATAATTCGGCTTAGTTATAATAAAATTGTAACTCAGCCGAATCTGTACATTAAATATTTTTTGGAATATGTTATTGAAATAAACATTATCATCGATACAGAAGCTGAATCTATAGTTTTTAGAATATTTGTCTGTCTGTCTGTCTGTTACCGCATCACAGTAAAATCACTGGAGGGATTTTTGATGAAATTTGGTATGGTGATAGCTGGTTATCCGGGTCAACATATAGGATACTTTTTACCGCGGGAAATGAGTATACTATGTAGTATGTAAAACCTAATAATTTAGTTTTTGGTCATCTGAACGCGAGCGAAGCCGCGGGCAATGCTAGTAATATTATATTATTTAAAAATTCTTATCTCTGTTATTATTACATGCTAAAATTTATTTTACTTTACAGAAGGATGGATGAAAAAGCTAGCAGATTATACAGAGTGGTTTAAAGAACAAGAAGATATTAAAGCAAATGAATCCCTAAGACCGGGAAAACCAACCAATTATGATGAATTATTTGGTATAGATGGCTCATTTAGACAGCTATCTATTGATTAAGATGTGTCTCTCATTAAAAATATAATAATATGTATATAATGTTTATACATATGTACAACAAGTATATAATGTGCTCAAAAATAGACAAATAGTATGTAAATTTTATCACGGTTTTTGTATTTGTATTCCATAAGTTAGACCTGACAGCGCCTACTTTTACTTGTATAAAAGCAAATGTATTTCTTATAATATAATAGATGATATCGTTGTCATTCAATGTACTATATTTTTATATACATATTCTAAATATTTAGATTTAATTCTAAATAATAAAATACTTTAAGGGGTAGGTTACGTTTTATACAAAATTATTACGCACAAAATGATTCAACCTCAATTTATATTTACTATTATTCATATAGATTTAAATTGTATTAAAAATAAACTTCATACACTAAATTACATTGTTCTCTTTATGTTTTTTTAGTCCCTAAATTTTATTTATTTGTTGTATTATGACATGTAGGTAAGTGCTGTTTGTTTTTATAGTCAAGAAATTTTTCCTGAAAGAAAATCAACTCGTAACATTTTTGACTGAATAATATAATAATAAGCTAGCAATTATTTTATTACTACAAACAAAGAAAGCAGTCATGAAGTGAAAACTTAAAATTATAAACAAACTTAAATTAAAATTTGTAAATTAAAACTGTTTACGCATTTATCTGGTTTTGACATCTATCGGCACTCTGAGTGTTAGCGTTAACACGTCACGTGACCATGTCGATGACGACTTATATGAATTCACTCCTTATCCAAACCTGCTTATAGGAGCTTTCTCGTCAAAAAAAGAAAGTGGTTAAAATGTATGGTGGCTGTTTGGTCTTTAGAATTATGCAGATATGAAATAATCAAATGAACTCCGTAATGGGGTAGCTTTTTGCAGTCATCGAATTGAATTTAATTTATCCTCAGAAAGAATTTCATTTTTTAAAATAAAGTTGAATTACATATTTCAAGAGATGACTTCTGAATTCAACATCGGTGTTAATTTTTACTTATTATAACTTAACGATGCAAAGAAATTAGCTGAAAATATACACTCAAAATCACCTTATAATTAAAATCAATAATAGACCGTAGAGTAAAGTATTTTTTATTAATTTTTCTATAGGGCCATGTCAATTCCTAAAAAAATATTAAAATAAGCGAAATACAGAAAAAATAAATATTTGCCTTTCAGAACTCGTTTTAAAATAATTTAATAGATATTTACGATTCACTAAGTAACGAACATGTTTGTGAGCTAACAATAAGATTGCAATTATTCTAAATGAAAGCTTGTACTTAATTATCAATTATATATTTTAAAATTTTTCATCCGTATTAATATTATAAATATGAAGTTTGTGAGTATGGATGTATGTTACTCTTTCACGCCAGAACGGCTGAACGGATCTGGATGAAATTTGGCACAGAGATAGATTATAGTCTGGAATAACACAGGCTACTTTTTATCCCGAAGAAGTGTAAGGTTTCCGTGGGATAGGTTTGTTTTTGTTTTCCTAGAGGCGAACCCAAGCGAAGCGAGGGTGAGCTGCTAGTAGTAAATACATGATAAACAGTGTGATAATCGCATGTTAACTTAAACTAAATTATTATAAAAAAATATGTAACTACTAACGATACATTTTCTTAATTGTTTAAACCTGCGTATTTTCTCACGATTAAATTACGAATATAAATAAATAGAAATGCTATAAGGATGTTATTAAATCTGCAAAAAACATCGTTCTTTATTGTGTTTTTTATTATACATTTTGTAGCACTTTTCAAATATATTTTTAGAACATAATATTGTCCTATATGACGTATATGTATGTATCTACACTAATAATAAATGGATAAACTAAAAATCTGTTGAACCGATTTAGAAATCTGATATGAAGATAGTTTGAGATCCTGGGCAAGACAGAATAGTTTTTATCCCTGAAATCATCCCTTCAGGGCGTTCAAAGGGGTTTATATGGAGAATCAACCATTTCTCAAGTAAGGAATATAAAACTCATCCTACCTATGTATATACAAATAAATATTCTATCTATTCAATATTAACAGTTAATACATATATGATATAATAAAAAAGTATAATTTACAGGACACCGGACTTTAATAAAACTTTTTCAAATCTTCAATAGAAAATCTATACATATAATAAAATTGTAACTAAGCCGAATCTGTACATTAAACATTTTTTGGAAAATCTTATTGAAATAAACATTATTATCGATACAGAGGCCGAATCTATAGTTTTTAGAATTTTTGTCTGTCTGTCTGTCTGTTATCGCATAACAGAAAAACCACTGGAGGGATTTTGATAAAATTTGGTATGGTGATAGCAACATATAGGATACTTTTTACCACGGGAAATGTAAGAGTATACTAATATGTAAAACCTTAGAATTTGGTGTATGTCATCTGAACGCGGACAGAACCGCTGGCAATGCTAGTGCTAGTCACCTATAAGATTCTACTCTGACCGTGAACACTTTATATTGCAAATGGATAATTGCTTGCCAAGGCCAAACAAGTGTACAGAGTACTTAATGAATAGAGACATTAATTATCATTTTATTATTATTATTAATATTATGACGTAGTATTATAAACGTTTTTATATAAAAAAAGACAACTAAGAGTTATCAGATAAAATTAAAAATGTACAAAAACAACAAGTAAGTGGAATTATAAGTATGCAACTATTCATCCCATAAAGAAAATAATCAGCTATTCCTTTAAAAATACTAGTCCTTCCTTTGGACGACATTGGGATGGGTTTGGTTTGGATCATTTCTAGTTACATTGCGTTGCCGAGTAGGAACGCGAACATTAAAACCGTATACATACACACATACGTACCGTACATATTTACAGAAAACCCAAGTACTACTCATTAAAACCATCGTAACGTCCCTCGTCTTAATGAGATATCACATTACCATTTACTCAACCACGACGCCCTGACGCGACGGTTGGACTGCCGAGGCAGACCACAACAACCAGGTGGTTCCTCCCATGGTCCCACTCAACTATCAGAGAAGTACCAGGAGTTACCGCACACAGAGATCCGAGACACAATAATCCGAGAGGACTCAAAAGTTGCAAATAGATTTGTTTTAGATTGGTTTACTTAGTTGTACTCAGTTCGAGCCAACAATCGACAGCCAATGCTGATCTACGTCCTTTGAAAAGTTAATAATACCACGGATGACGTAATACAATGATAATACTAATAATTAGGCATTATGTATTTTTTCTTAGTGACATATTTCTTGCTTGTTATAATCTACTATCTACCTATAATTACTTTAATTATATCGTGCTAGTTATGAAAAAAATGCATTTTATTTTGTAATTACTTAAGAACATATAAATGTAAAACAATATATATTATAATTTACTGAGTAGGTACTCTGTAAATATCTAGCAAGCAACAAATTGTTACAAAAATCAAAAGAGCTCAACTATATGTACAATGTACATGTATGTGGCAACTTTTACATAAGCTATGCTCGCGTTTGCAAAGAAACTGTTCTATCATTATCTTAGGACTAGATACTTGTTATTTAGTTCGAAATGACTCTTTAAATTAAATATTTTCATACTATACTTTAGTAATTATAATTAGCACGGGAATTCCTACATAGGATTTTTCCATTAACGCTTCGTTCACTAACGTCATGATGTATGTACCATTGCTGATACTCAATAAAAAAATTTAAAGGATACAAAAACGTAAAAACTCGTAGAATAACATCCTAATCTTTTCATAATTATCTTTTGATTTCAAACCACAGAAAAAAACATACGGTCTTCCGTGTTTTGCACTTTTATGATAATTTTGATTTTCAAAATTAATATTTTTAGACAAAAGCAGAGATTAAATTAATTACAATTATCATGACTTAACTTACTCATTTTTTTTTAAATCCTAGTTTCAACGGCTTGGGCTGTAAGTTGTAGTTAAGCAATTATTTCTCTAAATATCTATACGTACATATAATAAAATTTTTGTAATAAAAATACATATATACCTATAATAATAAAAAAATAAAGGGAAATCTGTACATGAAATATTTTTTAAAACAATAACTGTAAAATACAATGTACATAATATAGGCAACGAAACAATACTTTAGTTATTAAAATTGTTGCGTTTGTCTGTATGTCATGCAAAAAGTATTTACTCATTCGATGTTAATTAAATCTTGTGTAGTGATAACTTATTGCTCGGGTTAACATTTAGAATACATTTTACAACAAGGAAATGATTCGTTCCCACAGGAAAAGACTATAACTGATTTTGTCGAGTCGTCCGTAGAAATTTACAAGACTAATGCTCGATTTCACCAACAACCCATAAGCTACCTACGTATGGGATCCCTAGCTTAAAAGTCCCCTAGACTAGCCCCTAAATTAAATTTCGTTTTACGATCGTCTTTAAGCCCATATTTCGAGCACCTAAATCTAGGGGGCCTTTTAATATTTAGATGACCCCTAACTGTCGGTGAAACATAAACTGTCCCCTAACAGCCCCCTAACCATGCTTAGGGGATCCCTTAAACTTAGGTGACGTTGGTGAAATCGGGCATAATGCTGCCTAAATCTCAAGAGATATGTACATACATCAAAGATCTAGAAAGAAGAAATTGTAAGTCTTAAAAAGGCCTACTGAAAAGTCCAGGATAACATGAGTGCATCTCCTAAGATACACTCAAAATAATTATAATTTTTATCTATTTAAAACGTACCTTTACCTTACGGGACGCACCCGAGCGAAGTGAGGTTAAGTCGCTAGTTTTGTATGAAAGAGTTCCTACGAAGGTAGGACCTTCGATTTATCTTTCCCGTCTTACTGTATTTTTTTTCTTTTCTCGCGATAAAAAGGGGTTCATATTGCTCTATATGCATGCTCTTCTCGTCATTAAAAGTTCCACTAAAATCGGCTCAATCCTATGCATTCAAGCAGACACATTTGATACTTATAGGTAACTATTATGACATGATAAACTACAGAAATACATATTTTTATATTAACCTCATAAATGAAAATAATTAATATTTTTTGCCAATATTCCACGCGAGCATGACTTGTGCAGTAATTATAATTAATTAAGTGTACATTTGTTTTGTATATATAATTAAGTATATTTGTAAATTCCTTTATCTAAGCAAATAATAAAATTTGAACTGAGTCAAATCTGTACATTAAATATTTTTTGGAGATTTTCCATTATTGAAATAGTAATTAGTTTTTAGATTTTTAGTCTGTTTGTCTGTCTGGGAACGCATAGCGAGAAAACCACTGATCAGATTTTGATGAAATTTTGTATGATAATAGCTGGTTATCCGGGTCAACATACAGCATACTTTTTACTGCGGGAAAATGATTTCTGAGAAATCTATACTAAACATTAAAACTTAAAACCTAACTAGGGACGAACCCAAGCGGAGCGAGGGTGAGTCGCTAGTTGTAAATAAAGTTTTGAATCAGTAAAGCATCAAAGTAGTAACATTAATAACATTAAAGAAACAGGACAGTAGTGGACTTCATTAAAATGAATTTCGCACCTTATTGAAGTTGGTAAACATTAAGTAAAAGTTTTGGTACTTTAGTAAATAGTGAAAGTGTTGTTATATGCATTAATTGACAAGTACTGAGTAAGTGCTTCATAAGAACTTAAAAAATGTTAACCGACTTTTAACCACTAAGGAGTAGCTGAATGGAGTTTTTTGTTAAATAGATTTTTCTATATATATATATATATATATATATATATGTAATATACCCTATATACATATTACATACATATGTCGTATATGCATAGAATTTAAATTATTTTACCTTTTACTTTTGAAGTCGGTCAAAAATCTATTGTTTTTGTTAATAACTAAAAATAATATTTTTTTATCATAATATTAACTAATTAACGTACTCATTTCCTCACAAAAATAGCATTAAATGACGACATAAAAAATAATTATAGTTCAACCACTGTATAAAGCTAAATATTTAATTTTAATAGCTTTGCTTATAATATACCTTTTGCAGAAAGGGAAAACTATGTGATTGTGTTTATTACTGTAATTTATTGTATGGAGATAGTTTATGGCAAGAGTTTATATAGGTTATTCGTTTGTAAAAAAACTACAGCTTGTCTTAATGACAATTTGATACTATCGACCAATAATTTAAAAAAAGCTCAAATAGTCCTATAGAGAAATGTCTTAGATGCAAAAATTAAGCATTAATTATTACATTTGACTTCTTAATTGGTAATTTATTCCCGAGGTCAATATCAAATGGTTTCACCCTGGGCCGAATTAACCATGTCGGGGGCCCCTAGGCAAGCAATTCTAGGGGCCCCTTCGCTCGTTTCTAACTTATTGATATACATTTTTTCTACCACAATGCAACACCTCCAGGTAAATTTCTAAGAAATTAATTAAAATTCTAAGAAACCTATTGTTAACTGACACGCCGGCGTGTCCGCGGTCGTGGAGGGATTATATTCGTAATTATTACGCTATTAGGTAGATTTTATAAAAATCTGATCGATGCGGGGCCCATAGGCAGTTGCCTAAACCGCCTTATGGATAATCCGGCCCTGACTTTCACCATATATTTATATCAAAATAAAAACGTCACTATTGTGTTACAACACCTGTCAAGTATAACGGACGTTTAAACGAAGCATACATCGTGAGCAAAGAAGTCTAGTGAGTGTGAACACAGCATCAGGTTAAGTCAGCTGCATTTCTCAACAGAGAGAGGCGTACGAGGTCAGTAATAGCTTACTGCTCACACCGTGTACGTGTCCGATATATAACATTTATTCATAACAGTGGATACGATGTAAGTTACTTTATTATTATTATTTTTTTATAGATACAGATTTTTTTAATTTTAATTATATATTGTTAAGTATTAAATTAATAAGTGGTTCAGGAAATAATCTTAATTTTTTTACAATTTCTGTAATGAAGGTACTTCTAAAAAATATTAAAATTAATTATTAACTGCAAAAAAAATTATAAGTTTCTAAATTTGATAAAATATTGTTTTTCAAAAAGTTTTCAGCACATATTGCGATAAATACTTTTATGAATAAAAGGTTTTAAAATTTCTCCTCAATTCTTAAGTTGGTTGAAATTGTCAAAGACTAAAACATAAAAAAATCACACGAATTTACACAGTTTTATGTTTGCCTGAAAAAAAGAACCGCTATAATTATAATATATAGTTAATAAAGTAAGTTCCACTCAAAAAAATTTAAACGTACCAGGGATGCATCCGAGCGAAGCGACGGTTAGTCATTAGTGACTATTAAATTAAAATATAATTTGAAAATAAAACAATATTCATTTTTCTCATTTTATATTTTAGGTCCATAATGTTTAATTGTCGTATGATTTTATGTAATACTTTTGTGTAATTATTTTTATAGTAATATAATATACATACGTTTATTTTATATTAGCTAAATATGGTTATTTTTATGGTAAATATTTTCTTAATTCTTTATGGGGATAATAATTTTTGTCGGGGCATCCTTTAGTTTTTACCTTTATTACTCAAAATATAAAAAAACTTTAAAAAGAAGTCTTCCGATTTAGGTAAAATTTGGTAAGAAGATAGTTTGAGACCCAGGGAAAGACATAAAATAGTTTTTATTCCGGAAATCGTCCCTTAAGGGGGTGAAAAGGGGGGTGGAAGTTAGAATGGGGAATCAATCATTTCTCAAGTAAGGAATATATATTTATTTATTTTTTAAAATACTGATCTATTTTTCTATGCCTATTAATGTATATGCATTGCACATATATAAAGTCAATTCTATACTAACCGTTAAAACGTACCTAAGGATGAACCGAAGCAAAACGAGGGTGAGTAGCTAGTAAAAAATATATTAATTAAAGTTTAAAGGCCATTCATATTAGTTCATCATACCAACGTCGAGAATTACAATCATTTTTATGCATGCAAGAGTTTGCGAAAAGTACCAGACTGTAAGATTTTTTACGCTAATTAGTCTTCGAGTAATTTCGTAAATAACACCTGTAAGAATACACTACAGTTAGGTAAGTTTTAAACTAGAACCAATTAATAAACGTCCTAGCTCAAAAATATTATATGATTTCTTTGATTTCTCAACTTTTAAATTTAGTCTGATTTTCAAAAATATGGTCATCCCACGTCGCAACAGAATCATTGTAACATTCTTTTGACGTTTTGTTCTAAACTTTAGAATCTAAAGCTTTATCTCATACAATGGAAAGAAATCTTTGTTACAAATAATACAATTGCAATTACATTGAAATTTAAATGCTTACATGTTATAGAACTATCTAGATGTCTCGTGACTCGGAAGTCCCGGGACTTTTTAGAAATTTCGCAAAAAATGTACCTGAAAGCAAAACAAGTTCGAAGCATTTTTTTATGTTTGCTTTACAATTATAAGATTAAACTGTCAAAAACTGAATTTGTGATTATAAGAATGAAATATACAAATTATTTAGACTATAAATAAATAACATACACTCGCCCATCCAAAACTCGAACCTACGACCTCTAACAGTCATAACAGTGAGTACTGAATAATCCCACTTGGAATAGAATTAACCTAACACATGTTGTTTATATTATATTATTTGTCTCTTCTAGGGTCAAATATTTATATTGCCATATACATATGTACGTATGTATTTGTTGTTCGAGCACAATGTGCTTTGTATAATATGAAAGTATTATATGTATTATATATATACTCTATTTCCTTAATCATTATTATTAATATCATTTTAGCAACAGTACAGTAACAGTACATTTTAGTAACAGTAACAGAATAAGCTATAAAATATAAATACTTTGATTGAAAACTAGTATTTCTGGTTAAATAAAAATTATGAGACACCAATTCGCCTGAATGTGATTTTTTGAGAATATATTAAATCATATAATGTGTGTAAAAAAGGCAGTGGTAGCCCATAGGTAACGCGCTCGTTTGGGAAACCGAGTGAAGCGGGTTCAAATCCCGGGTCTCGCACCTCTGATATATTCATGTGCGAATCATTTCCAACATAATTACCGCTTACCTTACGGTGAAGGAAAACATCGTGAGGAAACCTGCATGTCTGAGAGAACCTAGCAAGTTTTCAAAAGACGTGAAGTTCGCCAACCCGCACTTAGCCAGCGTGGTGTACTATGGCCTGATCCCCCTTGTATTGAAAGGAGGCCCGTGCTCAGCAATGAGACGTTAAAAAGCGCTGAATACATATTAAATCAGCTCTTATACAAATTATCAACTAATACGATGAGCACATTTTAAATAATTACTGTGTAAAAATTACCTTACAATTAATCCCAGCCTATATTGTTAAATTTTTGTTTCAATTTATACAAGAGCACTCTGTAGTATTGAGAACTTGTTACTTTTATTGAATAGTTAGTCATTCAGTTAAAATAAATCATTATAACAACGAACTAACTGAACTTTAATATTTCATCTGTCTTCCTTAATGTAGAGTTTCAATTTAGGAAAGAAAATTTAGCATCTAGATGCATAAAAGACTAAGGCCGGTTTTACCAACGTCACCTAAGTTTAAGGGATCCCCTAAGCATGGTTAGGGGGCTGTTAGGGGACAGTTTCTGTTTCGCCGACAATTAGGGGTGACCTAAATGTTAAAATGCCACCTAAATATAGGTAAAAGAAATACGGCCTCTGACGATGGTAAAACGAAATTTAATTTAGGGGCTAGTTTAGGGGAACTTTTAAGCTAGGGATCCCATACGTCGGTGGTAGCTTATGGGATGTTGGTGAAATCGGGCATTAATTATTTTATAATAAATGGCTTCCTAGTCTCCGTAATAAATCAAAGCGAATGAAGTATTTCCCATTAAAACCTCATTTCATAAGCGATTCTTAATTAACCCTCTCGTGATATAAAATGATTTTATAATCATATCTTTCAATATGTTCTGCTAGCGACACACCCTTGCTTCGCTCGGATTAGTTCTAGGTACGTTTTAGCGGTTATTATGGAATAGATAGACTAACTATTCATATAATAAAAATGTAGATGTCGAATGTCTGTACATAGAAGAAAAATGCTAAAAACCAAGTCAGAGGAATGTAAGAAGAGAAATAGAACAAATGCCGATTTTTTCAATTTTTTTGTTTCTCTGTCTGTTTGTACGGGCCAATCTCCGAAACTGTTAGACCGATTTAAATGAAATTTTGCATGTTGGTACCTTATATCCCCGATCAACATTTTAGATACTTTTTATTCGGAAAAATGGAGTTCCCGTGGAACAGTTAAATAACTATAGTAACTTATACAGCTTACTACACATCAAATATGCACCTAATTTCGTAAAATTTGGCATGCGGACACCTTATATTGCCGGTAAAACAACAGGTTACTTTTTATCACGGAAAAACGAACAGTTCCCGTGGAATAGATCTGCTTGTGCTATTGTGCTATTCTAGAGGTGAACCCGAGCGAAGCGAGGGTGAGCCGCTAGTATATTAATATGATAATATATAGCATATAGCCTTCCTCAATGAAAGGGGTATCTAATGCCAAAAGAATTTTTCAAATCGGATTAGTAGTTCCTGAGATTAGCGATTTCAAACAAACAAACTCTGCCTCTTTATAATATTATAGTATAGATGACGGACATTTATACATACTATTACCTACTTATGTTATTTACATTTAAGTACTCAGACACGTGCATAGTAAATCTACGATTGTTTATTGCACTTTGCTTACTTACTTGAAGACTGTAATTACTTTAGCTACACCATATTTAAATATAAAATAATCTCTTGTTATATAGCTTTTCATTTCATTTTTACTACTATATGTAAAGAGTGTATAAGTGATAAATTAAAAATTTTAAAACCCCCGCCCGTATTGGACCGATTTTCATCAAAGATAGCAAAGAACTCCCGACTAATTCACCTTTCAAACAAAAAAAATCAATTCAAGGTTCATCCTTTCGGGAGCTACGATGCCACACACACACACACGCACACGCACACGCACACGCACACGCACACGCACACGCACACGCACACGCACACGCACACGCACACGCACACGCACACGCACACGCACACGCACACGCACACGCACACGCACACGCACACGCGCACACGCGCACACACGGACAGACACACAGACACGTCAAACTTTTAATATGTTTTTCCGTCGGGGGTTAAAAATGTGTATACTAAATGAACTAAAATAAAACGAAGCAACGTCTTTCCTTCACAAAAAATAGCCTGCATATTAAGAAATTCTATTGAAATCTGTTTGTACGATAATACCGGATGCGTTTGAATAAAAATATGTAGATGATCGTTTCTATAAAAACTATGCGGAAAATACAGCATAAATTTTAAAATACTAACAATTAATGATTATTATACGTAATATGTATATATACACTAGCAGAATCCGCGGCTTTGGTCGCACTAAAACTACAAAAATATCTCTATAAAGGTACCTTTCATACAAATTAATTCATAAATTTTCATACAAATTTTTATCCCCTATTTTACCCCCTTATAAGATGAATTTCGAAAAATGCTACAACATGTATTTATATTTGCACTGAAGAGTATTAATACCAAGTTTCAAGTAATTCAAATCACAAATATTTTTTTGGTTTGTATTATAAAGTGCTTTCCCGACGGAATAAAATAATCTCCCGCAGTAAAAAGTAGCCTATGTCACTCTCCAGCCCTCCAACTATTTCCACACAAAAAATCACGCCAATCCGTCAATCCGTTTCGACGTGAAAGAAGGACAAACAAAGAGACACACTTTCACATTTATAGTATTAGTATGGATACCTATAACTACTTAGAAAGAATAATGTCTCTTGTAAATTGTTATTTTTTTACTAATAAAATCTTACGAAAGCCTATAATATGCCGAAGTAAAAAGCTCCCTAAGGAGCCATTTGACCCACTTTGTTGTTCCGCAGAAAAAGGACGAACCTACAAACACACATGTTATATTTTATTAAGGATATCTTTTATTTCTAGAAAAGAAAAAGTTCCCACGGTATGTAATCGAGTAAAAAAACGGTTTATAGGCATAGACTAATGCGGTAATTTTTGATATGTTTTTAATTAAGGCATAAATTTTAATACAGGAAAGATAATTATGATTGTTTTTTTTCTATTTCTTAGTGTTTGACAAACACAAATTATTACTTCTGATGTGTAGAAAGTAAAAACATAATATTATGTAATATACTGTACTTTTTTATTTATAAACCGCAGGCTATCATTTAAAATTAAACGATCACCAAAAATTGTGCAGGCATTGCGCAGTAGACGCGCGATTGATCGCTCTATGTGAAAAATAATCGTATTACTTAAGCGATGGCTTGCTAATCGTTCGCTGATCGCCAAATACAGTTTTTAACCCCCGATGCAAAAAGAGGGGTGTTATAAGTTTAACATCAATGTCTGTCTGTGTGTGTCTGTCTGTCTGTGACATCGTAGCTCTCAAACGGATGGACCGATTTCGATACGGTTTTTTTTTTCATTTGAAAGCCAATTTCCTTGCGGTGATTCTTAGCTATGTTTGGTTAATATCGGTCCAGCAGTGTAAGAGTATCAGCTCTTTTCCAAAATGAGGTAAGGCATTTTGGCGTATGATTACTCGACTAAGTGCTTCACGCGTGCCGGTGTAATCGTTACAAACAATTTGCGTAGGAGGTTTTTTAAATTTTTAATATATAATTATCGCCAAGTAACTAGGGACACTAACAATTTGGTATCGATATATTGGAACTAAAAATGTAGCAACTATAACTATCAATTATTAAAATATTTTATTTCTATTTTATTTATTGCAGTACATATATAGCAAAAACCGATATAAACGATTATAATTGCAGAAATAAAGAACTGTAAAGCAATCTCTGCTAAAAAATGCTAATTGACATTGATTGGAAATTCAATTTGAATTTGTATTTGTTTCGTATACCTACCTATTCGTAATTACGAATAGGTATACATACAACTCATTGCCTCATTCTAAAAAAGTGTATAAAAGAAAAACTTTTTAACAAAAAAATAAAAACAGACTTCAAACAAAAGCACTAAAAAGTAAAAAATAACTGATTGGTAGTTTTCATTTACTATACATACCTAATCAAATATTTTCGAAGTCGGTGTGCTTTGGCTAAGTAATTAAAGCCACCTATTAAATACATACCTAATCAAATATTTTCGAAATCGGTGCCAGCCCATACAAAGCAAAGCACACCGACTTCGAAAATATTTGATTAGGTATGTATAGTAAATGAAAACTACCAATCAGTTATTTTTTACTTTTTAGTGCTTTTGTTTGAAGTCTGTTTTTATTTTTTTGTTAAAAAGTTTTTATTTTTCCCTTTTTAGTGTAGACAGTAGTAGCAAAGTAAGGATTCTAACGTGTTAGGCTTGTCAAATCAAACAAAATAAGCCCAAACTCAAAGTATCTACTATTAGCCGTTGAAGAGTTCCACCTATCCACCTTCTGGCCTTGCCATCAGATCAGGTCAACAACACCGAACCACTGTACTATCAACGGAAATAGAAGTACTTGCTAAGTTTCAAGTCAATATGACAATTAGAAGTAGGTTAAATTCAACATTCGCTATTTTTCCACCCTTAGGGGTGGTATTTTTTTTTTTGAAATTTAAATGGGACCAATCTGGAAGTATACCCTTTCAAACGACACAAAAATTGTCCAAATCGGTTAATAAATGACGGAGTTCTGAGGTAACAAACATAAAAAAAAAAAAAACATACAGTCGAATTGAGAACCTCCTCCTTTTTGAAGTCGGTTGAAAAGCACGACTCATGTCGAATGCAAATGTTCAAAATCCAACAAGTAACCTAAACAGAAACTACCCAACACGTTTGGCTCAGTTTGTAGTGACCCTACTTGGTGCGCCAGCGGTCCCGGGTTCGAGTCCCGCTGGGGCATTTATTTGTGTAATAAGCACGAATGTTTTTACTCCAGTCATGGATGTTTATATTTGTAATATGTATGTATTTAAAGTTATATATGTGTTGTGTATCAACTATCTGGTATCCATAACACAAGTCTCGTAGCTTACCATGGAACTAGATGGTACTGTATGTTAATGTCCGAACATATTTATTTGTTATTTATTTACCCTTAACACTTAATATCATTTATCAACACCGAATTAAATAAAAAATATTAACACTTTTTATACCTAAAAACACAGTTTATGTAACAATATAAGAGAAAACTTCAAAATCAACGACAATATATTAACGATTAACGAAAATAAATAATTTTTCACTATCGCAAATGGTTGGCATGATACGTAATCAGCCTGCGGGCTCGTTACAACGCTTTCGAGAACTGCTAGACCGATTTTTATCATCTTTGTTTTGTTGAATTTGTCTTCACCCCAAATAGTAGAATAACTATTAAAAAATTGGAAAAATTCACGAAAAAAAATTGAATAAAAATCAATACCATACTAAGCGTCAAAACGTAACTAATGAAGAACCTGAGAGAGTAAGGTGAGTGGCTAGTTACAAATAATCGTCCAATTATTTCACTTATTATTGAGAAGCTGTAAACGATGTAATAAAAAATTTTTTTTACACTATAGTTATAGCCGATTGTTCAGGAAAAAAGATGTTTCTATTTAATTACAGCAATAATTATCAGAGAATACATTTACATGCTTACGCCTTTATATGCTTTGAACGGCTACCGTGCAGTATATTTTTTAAAGTCATCGTCTAATACAGTAGATGTCGTAGGCTAGATTCCTATTGGGCCAAAAAATTTTTTTCTGGAGTGGTATTGTGTATTGTCTATCAAAAATGTCTCTAGATTTGTTAAAACAGTTCTTATCCACATCTCAAAATTATTTGTGTTTATTCCAAAATAAAAAATAGCTCTCCGGCTTCAACAAATCAATTGATGGAACTGAAACATAGTTTTAAATTATTTATTGATCAACTATCTTAGTATAATATTTTGTTATATTAAAACGTTGAATATCCTTTTACTTAAGAAGTAACTTTATTATAGATTAATTATTTATCCTTACATTAAGTCTATAATTTATATGATCATTTTAAAGTATAATTAAAGACAATTTCTATCAACGATAAAAAAGCACTAATGTTCAGCGAAATCATCAACGTTTTTTCGTCGAAAAAAGATCTCAAGGTTCCATTCATTATCGCTGTAATTTAATTTTGAATATTTTTTGTATTTGACTATATCTACACATTTTTATTTAATTAATTTAATGAGTTTCGTAATAAATACTTAAAACAGTTGACTAAAAAGATTGTTCATTTTATACGGAATATAATAAGGGGCCTCACTTCTTTGTTGCCCCAGGGCCTCCACACCCCTAAATCCGACCCTGGTTTTATTATAGTATAGATTACGCTTTAAGATAAATCGAAATATATGTATATCATTAGTTATTACTATTAAATGTCTATAGATAATTTATTTAAGGTCAAGGCCCACAAGCTGCAATCTTTCAATATTTGGCAACTAATGATTATTAGTTCTACGTGACGTTTTCGCTTTATTATAGACTTAAGTTGATGATTGTGAAATCTACGTTAATCCGACGACTTTAACAAATATGATGACTATTGAAGGAATATGAGACAAAGTAATGTCCAGTGCAATGTGCAATGCAATTTGTTTATTCGTCAATTTCTGGATATTGCCTATTAAAACATAGTTAAGTCACATTTAATTGGTCCAGACCCATTTGTGTCTGATAAATGATTTATTTATTTTTAATTGTTTTTTTTTAATAAATACTTTATTGCACACACAAGGATAATACTGAAAATGTAAAGAAGAAGAAAGATAAATATATTATGTACATATAACTGATCTTGAGAAGAACTAAAAACATAATCTCTGTGGATTAAATAGGAGCATACGTGAGAGAAAGTGCTTACAAGTCAATTACTTGTACGAAAAAATACGATAATAGTATTTAATTATTAAAATAAGTATATTTATTTCAGACAATTATGAAGTTGAAAACAGCTGATCTTCTAGTGCAGCCGTCAGGCGAGCTGTCTAAGAAAATTCGTATCGAACTTAAGGAAGATCTCAATACAAGAGACAGAGATCTCGCTGCAATCAAGGATTGGCTTAGAAAAGAACCACATTTACCTGATGAATGGGGTACGTTTTTTCTATTTCTTATTACTTGCTACTTACACAAAAGCCCTTAATTTGATAGAATTATCTAAAATATGTTTATCAAACATCAAATTGTGTACACTGTTCGCAAATTAAGTCATATTATTAACTTAGAGCGTACAAAGACTGGTATATAATTATTTATATACAAACTTTAGCTTTTTCCGTGCACAATGGATAATGCGAAAATATTCGCCGTACATAAATAACTATGTACTATTTTAATGGTGATTGTTTGGACGGTATAAAAGTTGATACGCTAAAACTTCATCTAATCACGAGTTAAAGCAAAATAAATAGCATACAAATCTTATTTATGGAAAAGATTATATGAAGGACAAACCAATCGACCAAAACCTTCAGTGATTTGCGTTTTAACACAAATCCATAGTTTTTGTAACCTATTTTTTATAATTTACTGTATTATATGTTAAATGTCGTGTGTGTGTGCAAAGGAAAGTTTGGGAACTAATTGGGACGAATTTTTCAGAGGACAGACCACTAATTACTTTTCTAAGGGGCAGCAGTTTTTCACTTGAAAAATGCAAACGAAAACTGGATATGTATTTTACAATGAGAGCAGCGTGTCCTGAATTCTTTACAAACAGAGATGCCACATCTCCTGCACTTAGAGAAGTCTTGAACTCAAAGCTGTAAGTTATTGTTATGCTGTGATTTACGCGAATATTTGACATCCAGACTAATATTATAAATGTGAAAGCATGTTTATCTGTTTGTCCTTCTTTCACGTCGAAACAGAGTGACAGATCGGCGTAATTTTTGTGTGAAGATAGTTGGAGGGATGGAGAATGACTTACTTACGTGCTTTTTAACGCAAGAGATTATCTCAATCCCACGGGTAAATACGTTATAATACAACCCTAAAAAAATGTATTACCAGAATTACTTGAAACTTGGTATTAATGCTCTTCAATACAATTAAATAAATATATTTTTAAGCATTTTTCAAAATTCATTTCATAAGGGAGTAAAAACAGGAGATGAAGTTTTTATGGAACCTACACTTTTAGAGTATTTATTATTTAATGTAGTTTTAACGCGAGCGAAGCCGCGCGTTCTGCTAATTTTAAATAAAACTGTCTTTTAGAATTTTTCCTAGGCACTGGAGAGAATAAGTTTTTAAAGTCTAGAACTTTAGTCTATTACGTGACCGTGATTGCTGTAAAGCATTTAAAACGTAAGACTCCAAAAAATCAAATACTGCGAAAAAGACCGAATTTTATTTAAAATCACCAGGTTTTTTTATTAATATTTAAAAAAAATAATAATAACCTCACTGTGAGTTTCGTTACGTAAGGGATAGCACCAGAAGACCTACCATCCTTCCTCTACATCCTTCTCTTGGTTTTTTCCTGTCATCATCCTTTTTTTATTCAACATATAAGATCACAACTGCAAAATAACGTCTCTGATATTATATGTAAAGACAGCGCGTTGTATGCTTATTTGTCGCAAGTATATAATAGCATTATTATTTTTAGCTTTAACCGACTTCAAAAAAAGGTTATCAATTCGACATTTTTTATGTAATATTATTGGAACTGCAAAATATTCACATATGATAAACTATTAGAGCTTCCAAAAAATATACAAAAACTTATTGGTGTACGTATGTGTTTGTATGTATATGTGTATGTATGTTTGTCCACGTATTTCTACGAAACTAGTAATTGGACCGTGATGATTCTTTCTTTATTTGATTAAATTTATTTCAACTTAAGGTATAGTAAAGGTTTCATCAAAATCCGTTTAGTATTTTTTTATGATATGGATTATTTGCCAATTTCACCTTAACTTTTATATTATATCTGATACAATACTTTCCTAATTTTTGTAGACGTCGCATGTTCTTAAATTAACACTAATGCTAGAATCGCAATAATTCAATAAAAGATACGTGAATTGACATTAATATTTCACAATTGACCCTCCATCGAACTAATGCCAGACTGGCTGGTTTCTTAACACTATGGTTTAACCTGTTCGTACGAGAGACTGCTACGTAAAAGGTGAATCACTGTAGGTCAATACATTATATAAGTACTGAATCATTTAAGTAACATTTTTGGCTTGAATATTTCATAAGAAAATCTGGCTATGGCTATTGTGGAATAAATACTTGACTTCCTACAATGTTATATTCTGCTAATATTATCAATGCAAAAGTTTATGAGGATGTATACAGTATAGACGTATGGTTGTTTGTTACTCTTTCACGCAAAAAGTACTTAATGGATTTTATTGAAACTTTACAGTAATATAGTTCATATATCAGAGTAATAGATAAGCTAAAATAGCCGGAAAAATGTACGGTTCCCGTGGGATGATTTGTTTTTCTAGAGACGAACCCGAGCGAAGCACGGGTAAGCCGCTAGTTATTCATAAATAATCAGGTTATTTTATACACATGATCATTATCAGTCTATTTTCAATTTTTTTGTTTCAACATAACTAACCAAACATCCTCTTTCTCACTACATATTTGCCAACATACGAATAATATACTTAAAATATTTCAACCTTCTTTTTGGCATATAAAGCGTTAATTGTGTAGCCACATAACCTGTACCTACTAGAAAAATCTAAAAAGCTAAATTGATATTTATTCTCTAAAAAATAAGGTTGGTTGTTACAAAGTGATTGGGTAAATACAGGCCTTGGACGATTCAAGGGCGTGCGTCTGCGCATTGCGTAATGCGTTACTTAGCAATATGGATTACGTAAATTGTTTAAGCCAACAACACTTCGCAATACCATATTTCTACGTATACGGTCTAAATATATATTTTTTATGTAGATTAATTTTATTAAAAAAAAATATGGCCTTAAAATATTTATGAAACAAATACCTAATTTAATAAGTAAATGGTTTTTTTTCGAATGCACCTACTTATTATTTAAATTATAATTTATAGTCAAAGCAAGACTGATTTAGTAAACTATGGCAATTTAATTTAATGATAACTTTTTGCTATGAAATACTCTTTGTTGGAGGAGAATATATGTTTTAAACGATTAAAGTTTACTTGTACAATAATATAATATCTATTATTTTTTAGTACCCTATTGAAGAAACTCTTATTTATAATAATAATTATTTATTTATATGTACTTCTTTTTTTATATATATATTGTTATTAAATGATTTTGTATGCTGGTAGCGAAGGTTGAAATAATCGTGGGTCGTAACTATAATTGCTTTGAAAATAAATATTTTTTACGTAAATAATAAGTGTTTTTTATTCAAAATATATAAAACTTTATTATTAAAATTTATTTTCTAGCCAAGGCCCTACCCTTCCCGGTGTCACACCGAACGGCAGAAGAGTCACAATATGCCGAGGTAAGATTTCTTATGTCTTTAGCCTTAAGCTACTTTCACAAATTATACTTTTAATTCTCAATATGATACTGCTTTCCATGAATTGGACTTATTATAATTAGTATCCATACTTAAAATTATATAACTCAAAAAACAATCGTCATAATTTTTGTATGTAGATAGGCATTTTATGACATAGACTGAAGAAGACAAATAGATGATTTTTATACCAGTATATCAAATGGCTCCCACAGGATATTTTTTAGTCTGTTAGAAGAACAGAACTTTTACACGCGCCTTATCGAAGGATGACGCTGGTTCACATCAGTTCACCGAGTATGGAAATCTCGGTCAATCAACTTCTAAATTCATTAGATAGAAGCAACATTATAAAGCAAACCAATACATTGTTATGTATAATATCTGGTTTTAGAAACGTTCACAAAAAATTAACATACATACAGGTTTTGCTTATTACAGCTTCGTCAGATTTTAAGCAACATGAGGTCGTAACATTGCCAAGTTTAACAATCATTCACCGAAATATTTAATTACATTTCACGGTATTCGAACATGACAAGTTAAAAAAGTGAAACTTCTTTAGAATCTTTGTGATATGAAACTCAATGAAACGGATATGCAACACTAAACAGAGACAAACATATAAATATAATATAGGATTAAGCCGGCGAGAGATTGCGATGTTGCCATGGTAACCGTTGGTATTTGAGATAGAATACATTATACAGAAAGTGGTAAATAATAAAATTAATTACTGAATAATATGTAATGTATATTTATGTGAAATAAAACGTAAAATAATTTCGAAACTTGGTAAAAATATTATAAAAAAATTAATCTTATAATTGTCCTACTTCTGATATATATCCTAGTAGTATAGTGATCTTTACTCATTCTCTCGTAGGTTACTTTTTGAAGTTTTATCAATTATTGTATTTTTCCTTGGGAATGAATGATTTTGCTGTACTAAAAGGTATCCTAAATGTTGATCCGAGTTAATTATCACTACACTAAGTTTAGTTAAAAGTTCTGTACTTTTTGCATGAAATGCGCCGAGATATACAAAAAAACAGACGAAACATTCAACAACTATTATTTTGGGGCATATATTCTGTACACAACACGTAACAGTCATTGTTTTAAAAAAATATTTTATATACTTACAGATTCCGCTTTGTTACTTTTATACGTTAAATTTTATATTTAATACGTCCTATATATACGCAATAAAAAAAAATTACACAATTATACCTATCGCAGTAGACGTCGCTATAATTTATTTTATCAATAAGGATGTTTGCTGTCATCTCACGTAAATCGAATGGGTGGAATAAACATAAAGTAAACACTAAGCCACGCCGCGACGTAAAATAAACTCAACATTTATATAAATAACATAATGGGTTGTACTAGGTACGAATAATTTACTATAACTGTGTAACAAGTATCATTGTACTTGTACAAGTCAGTTTTATTGTAAGAAAACTGATGCCCGATTTCACCAACGTCACCTAAGTTTAAGGGATCATCCCCTAAGCATGGTTAGGGGGCTGTTAGGGGACAGTTTCTATTTCACCGACAGTTAGGGGTCACCTAACTATCAAAAGGCCCCCTAAATTTAGGTGCTCGAAATATGGGCTTAAAGACCATCGTAAAACGAAATTTAATTTAGGAGCTAGTTTAGGGGACTTTTAAGCTAGGGATCCCATACGTAGGTAGTAGCTTATGGGTTATTGGTGAAATCGGGCATGAGTCTTTGTCTACACCGCAAAAGAGTAGCGTAGAGTAGTAGAATAAATATAAAAAGTACGATTATATTTTTACTATTTCAGAGCGTTTCAAAGGATAGTCTGGAATAGACAGAATATATATTATATGACAAAATATAGCCTTCCTCAATAAACGGGCTATCTAATGCAAAAAGATTTTTTCAAATCGTATTAGTAGTTCCTGAGATTAGCGCGTTCAAACAAACAAACTCTGTCTCTTAACAATATTAGTATAGATAATAGGATTAGTATAGATGTTAGTTTGCGGTTTTCATGGCATGTTGAAATTTAATGCGCAATAACGAGAAATTAATAATTTATAAGGTTAACTTATATATATTTGTCGGAGACGGTCATCAATACGGTCGCTAAACGAAGCGCGGCACGACGCCTGAGTGATGGCAGCACCTTCGGTATTATCGCCAACACTCGGCGAGCTTCGTGCTACGACGGAGCCTAGCTAAGGGAGGGGTGTTAAGAGGGCTGGACACTTGCCTTCGAGCCGAGCCAAGCTTAGGACCGCTCCACTAGGAACTGTCTTGCGTTCCGTATTGTCTATACGTGGTAATAGTGAAGTGGTATATGGTTGTGTGTAGTGAAGTGCTGTTTAACTATGTACAAAGTGATTATTGTTAATTTGAAATACAACTGTGATTGCATCGACTTTCATTTGAACCAACACTTCCCATATAACGCCCACTGTATAAGTCATGATAAAATAATGGAAAATAATAGTGAAAATTAATGTGGCTTCGATATCAGAAGTGGGATCAGTGTTGGTTCAATTGCAAAAAAAACTAACTCTGAATGAACAATGACGTGCTATGTTTGAACAACAAAATATCAGTGTGTGATCTCTTATCGAGGCCATGCAAATGCCTCGCATGAAGAAGAACGTCAAGTTACGCGAGTTTGACCCTGACAATATGGATACGGACGCAAGATCTTGATTTGCGACTGTAGATTTGTGTTTTGCCGAATACCCTCCATACGGCGGCTAGCTTATTTTAACAGTCAGTAAGGAATTAAAAGGATAAGGGTCGACGTGGCTATCACAATTTGTATACCAGAGTACGCTAATTAATTTTAACAGTGACAAACCAAATGAAAAAAGAAACTCGTTACGTACGCAAATCGCCTGATGACATCACTGACTAATCGTTGGAAAGACGCTAGCAAGAATCAGATAGCAATTGCGACTGTCCTTGCTCACTTATGTCAGTTTAATTCGAAATTACAACGATTGGCCTTTACTACGAAAATTGCTTCGCGAGATCGACTGCAGCAGGGATTGCACGCATTCTCACATTTGAAACGCAAAAAAAGTGAGTCTTAAGCGGTCAGAGTGTAGAAGCAAGGTAAATGACAGTGTGGAACGACCTTCGATGACAGCAACGGCATTGCAGCCTGCAGTGAAGTCTCTGGTGTGCTTCAAATGTGGCAAGCCTGGTCACATCACGCTCCGGTGCATAAGTAGTACCAGTCAAGTGGACGGCCAATATGGGTGTAACACGAACGGAACGACGCGTGGATGTATGTGTTGTACAACCATCTTCGAATGCTCAATGGCATAGAGGTAATCTGTATTGCTTTTGTTATAATCATGGTGCTGAATATTCGTTAGTAAGATAACATTTAGCAGTCAAATTGTGTGGTTAACGATTTTGTCCTTGCAATTTCTAGTATTGATCAAAACGGAATATTCAGCACAGAGTAAAATTTGTTTTGTAACGATTAACGGTCATTCTCTTGAAATCTTTCGAAATATTATGTTTTGCCTAATTATTAGTTACAAAATGGTATCATGATAGAACATGAGATATTGAAAGGTTTTCTATTAACATGACGGCTATAAATTCTTTACACAAAAATTCTAGTAGGTCATGTACCAATAGAGGTTGATGTAAATAATGATCATCATGCCAAGCAAATGTTTTTAATGAAGTCGATGGAAACCGATGTAAGCATTCTGACGGCCGTAGTTGTGTCGACCGTACTAGTAACTATTACGTAGTCATAGCCTGGTAAAAGTCGGTCTTTTGAGGAAGCTCAAACTAAATAGACCGTGGGTGTGTGATGTGCGTTTAGTTCTGGCGGAGGTCGGGGTCTGTTATGACCATAGTGTGTAGTCACCGAGAGGGTGATACGGTGATCCTGTAATGGATGTGTCGACCGTACTAGTAACTATTACGTAGTCATAGCCTAGTAAAAGTCGGTCTTTTGAGGAAGCTCAAACTAAATAGACCGTGGGTGTGTGATGTGCGTTTAGTTCTGGCGGAGGTCGGGGTCTGTTATGACCATAGTGTGTAGTCATCGAGAGGATGATACATACGGTGATCCCGTAGTGGATGCACCTGGATTGTGGAGCAATTGTGATTGCTGGTTGGCTTGTAAAGCCGTGGCCTAAGAGTGGTTTACAGAGGTGCTAGTAAATTTGAAAATTAGTTTTGATTGCTAAAGTGTTGAATGATGTTGGTACATGGCTCTGGATGACTAATGATTTTAGTTAGATTAGAGATAGTTACAGTGACTTGGGAGTTTAAAAAAAAAAACAAAGGTGTTAGCGTTAAAGCTTTTCGTTAGAATAAAGATGATTCAGATTCAAAGTTAAGTTTTATCTGGTCAGGATTGACCGAGTCGAGCAAGTATTTTCGTTGATTATTTGGTTGCAGGCTAACACACGGCTAACACACGAGGGCGTGTGCACGCAGGATGGCCGTGTCGGAGACGGTCATCAATACGGTCGCTAAACGAAGCGCGGCACGACGCCTGAGTGATGGCAGCACCTTCGGTATTATCGCCAACACTCGGCGAGCTTCGTGCTACGACGGAGCCTAGCTAAGGGAGGGGTGTTAAGAGGGCTGGACACTTGCCTTCGAGCCGAGCCAAGCTTAGGACCGCTCCACTAGGAACTGTCTTGCGTTCCGTATTGTCTATACGTGGTAATAGTGAAGTGGTATATGGTTGTGTGTAGTGAAGTGCTGTTTAACTATGTACAAAGTGATTATTGTTAATTTGAAATACAACTGTGATTGCATCGACTTTCATTTGAACCAACACTTCCCATATAACGCCCACTGTATAAGTCATGATAAAATAATGGAAAATAATAGTGAAAATTAATGTGGCTTCGATATATTGTATATTTTTTATACTATTCAAACCCTAAATAGATGTAAATAGCTGGCATATTTCGTATGAAAAATAATATTTTTCTACCTAAATTTATTAATATTTGATATATAAACTTTTTGGCAAAATTAATCAACACAAGTTATTCTTTCTTAAAGTTAAAACTTTTCAACCGACTTCAAAAAGGAGGAGGTTCTCAATTCGACTGTATTTTTTTTTATTTTTTTTTTATGTTTGTTACCTCAGAACTCCGTCATTTATTAACCGATTTGGACAATTTTTGTTTTGTTTCAAAGGGTTTACTTCTAGATTGCTCCCATTTAAATTTCAAAAAAATACCACTCCTAAGGGTGGAAAAATAGCTAATGATGAATTTAACCTACTTCTAATTGTCATATTAACTTTAAATTTGCAAGTGTTTCTATTTCCATTAATACTACAGTGGTTCGGTATTATTGACCTGATCTGATGGTAAGGCCAGAAGGTAGATAGGTGGAACTCTTTAACGGGTAATAGTAGATACTTTGAGTTTGGGCTTATTTTGTTTGATTTGACAAGCCTAACACGTTAGAATTCTTACTTCGCTACTACTGCGTACACTAAAAAGGGAAAAATAAAAACTTTTTAACAAAAAAATAAAAACCGACTTCAAACAAAAGCACTAAAAAGTAAAAAATAACTGATTGGTAGTTTTCATTTACTATACATACCTAATCAAATATTTTCGAAGTCGATGTGCTTTGGCTAAGTAATTAAAGCCTACGTATTAAATACATACCTAATCAAATGTTTTCGAAATCGGTGCCAGCCCATACAAAGCAAAGCACAACGACTTCGAAAATATTTGATTAGGTATGTATAGTAAATGAAAACTACCAATCAGTTATTTTTTACTTTTTAGTGCTTTTGTTTGAAGTCGGTTTTTATTTTTTTGTTAAAATTTTTTTATAATAGATGAGACCTTGAGGATGAGTCGCTAGTATTTAATAAAGAAATAGCTACTGTTTTGTAGGCTATTTAACTTTTTAGTTGAAATATTTATATTTAATTCCAGGTATAGACCCCGCTCTGGATTCTCAGCAGATAACAGAAATTCTAAAGTCTGCACTCATGATTGGTGATATTAGACTGGGTGAAGAAGTAGAGGGTGTTGCTGGGGATATATACGTATTGGATGGGGCGGTGTTGGGACCAAGTCTATTAGCTAAGCTGTCACCTTCCACTATAAAGAAATTTATGATTTGCGTGCAGGTACGTTTAAACTATTACTAAATATCTCGTTGGTCTAGTATTGCATTTACAAATGCAGATCTCGATATCTAGGGTTCAAATCCTAGAAAACGGGCAGTTTTCCAAGAAATTTTCGGCGGGTTTTCCAAGAACTTTGCAGTAACAACTCAGAATTGAGAAGTTGGCGATAGTACATAGGTACGGTAAGGTACCTAAAGCCGTCGTTCCTACAAATGATAATTAACCAATTCGATGAATTGTCATCCAAACTAATTTTGGGTAAAAGAAAAAAGAAAAAACTTGTGCTTGGACTTTTTTATATTATACGCCTGTGCAGTGGGGTAGTTAAGATCGTTTAAAATACCTTAAATCTACACTAATATTATAAATTTGAATGCTTGTGAGTATCGATGTATGGATGTATGTTTGTTACTCTTTCACGAAAAATCTACTGAATGGATTTTGATGAAACTACAATAAGCTCATACATCAGAATAATACATAGACTACTTTTTATCCCGGAAAAATGTACGGTTCCTGTGGGATAGATTTGTTTTTGTTTTTCTAGATTCTTGTTCCTTTTTTTACTAGATTCCGCTAGTAAACAATAAATGATGTTAAAGTATATTAATGAATAATAATTCTATTTCAGGAAGCGTATCCAGTAAAACTGAAAGAAGTCCACGTTGTAAATACTACGCCAATAGTTGAAAGACTTGTAAATTTTGTAAAGCCATTCTTGAAGGATAAAATTAGAAAACGGGTAAGACTAAGACCAATGTTAATGTTTAAACTATTGAAAAGGAATAATAGTGTTAATACCTAATAATTACCGAAATAAAAGAAATATTTTAATATAATAGTAAAGTCATGGATTATGTGAAACGATAAGCTATAAATATTTAAACGGAATATCGTTTGTATAAATGAACGTTAATGCTTAAACATTTATTTTATACATATATTATGCATACATTCATCGATACCGACGTGATTGCTTTACTACATCTCTTGTGGGGTCGGGAAAAAACTGTATGTTAAACGCTACGATCATTTACATCTAACATATCATAGATATGAGATAGCTCTATCTATACATATAATAAAATTCTAACTAAGCCGTATCTGTACATTAAATAATTTTTGAAAAATCTTATTGAAATAGACATTATTATCGATACAGAGGCAGAATCTATAGTTTTTAGAATTTTTGTCTGTCTGTCTGTTACCGCATCACGGAAAAACCACTGGAGGGATTTTGATGAAATTCGGTATGGTGGTAGCTGGTTATCCGGGTCAACGTATATGATACTTTTTACCTGCCTCGGTGGTGTAGTGGCTAGCATGTACGGCTGCACACCCGGAGGTCCTGGGTTCGAGTCCCGGGTCGGGCCAAGTTTAGCTATTGTGTCTTTCTGTATAGTAAGCCTCAGTAACAGCCCGGAGTTGGGAAGTTGGCGGTGTTTCACCCCCGTGCCTCGGAGAGCACGTAAAGCCGTCGGTCCTGCGCCTCAAGTCTCACTGGTCATGTCGAGTGGTCGTCCCACCGGAGTATGAGAGTGACAGGAATAGGGAGTGCACTTGTGTCTGCGCGTACACTTTGCACTATAATATCTCCTGCGTAGTTGGCTAATCTCATTGAGATTGGCCGCCGTAGCCGGAATCGGCTAGGAGGAGAACATCACTTTTTACCGCGGGAAAATATCTCATTTCTGAGAAAAAATACAAAAACTGCAATGTAAGAGTATACTAATATGTAAAACCTAAGAATTTGGTTTTTGGTCATCTGAACGCGGGCGGAGCCGCGGGCAATGCTAGTCTAATATATTCTCTTACACTTTTTAAGTAAAATCGCTTCATATGCATCATTTCTGTATAATCAAGATTATTAAGTATAACATAAAATTTACAGATCTTCATTCACAAAGACGTAAAGGATATTTACAATTATATACCACGAGAGATGCTGCCAAAGGAATACGGTGGCGATTGCGGTACTATGGATGAACTTCAAGGTATGGTTATGGTTTCTATTTGTACAAAGTTTCTTAATTTAATTTAAATTTTTTAAATATGGTAATAAAAAGCTTCAGTGTATTTTAACGTTCCAAACTTAAAACATTTAAAATCAATTATTAGGAATTTAGTACAAATAGTAGGAGATCCCGATCTATGTGGTGGACCCCTCACTTTTTTCCAGGTGAAATATATTTTTTAAACAATAAAACATATTAACAAACACGACCCACGGGAGCCATTTTAACATGAAGGAGTAACAAACATGCACACATGCACATGCCTATACAAAGTTCTGCGTTTATAATAGCCGTTGACAAGCACTATAAAAATAATTTTCTATTACTTATTACAGAGAAATGGACACAAAAGCTTATTGAATACAGAGACTGGTTTAAAGCACAGGAAGCTTTGATCGCCAACGAAAGTCTTCGACCTGGAAAGCCTACAAACTATGACGAGCTTTTCGGTATAGATGGCTCTTTTAGACAGCTTGCTATAGATTAATTTTTATATGTGATTTACAATAGTTATGGAATATCAATATCTTAGAATAGTAATTTTTTACACATTGATACATAAAAACATAGATACATATTTCCTTACAAATAAGTAGTTACAAATAAAGTGGTGTCGACACGTGACCTTGAGTCAAACTAAAGAATAAAATTCAAAAATCAAAAGTTCTAATTGTCTCAACACAAATTCGAACTACTTCGAACACGCCACATAAAGTATTTTTTTAACGAAACAACGTGCGTTTTAATTTTGTCACCCGGAAATGAACAAAAGAGATTTGAAAAAAAATCTCAATTCAATTTCGAATTCCGCACTCCTTTTGGGGACAGTTTTGAGTCGATTATTCTTTAGTCGCGTATCTTGAGTTTTTGTATATCAATGATTTCACACATTTTGATTGCGCTATTATATTATATGAAATATGTATTAATAATATTATCGTCAGGTTTATAATTGAAAAAAATATTACATAATTAATATACATATATTTTAAATAAAACTTCAAATAATATTAAGAAAGTTCTTTGCATCAAATACAATCAGTTTAATTATCATACTTTTATTATTAATTATCATCAGTGCATTGTTTTTTGATAAGTTAGCAATCGCTAAGTGTATAATTGGCGTAGTGATAATAAACAGGTGAAAGATTTTCAAGATATTTAAGGATATAGATATTTAATTGTGATATAACATGAGATAGAAATCGTATTATTTTCATAAATACTTTTAACATTTACTCCAGACAAATAATTCAAGATTACAAAATTTGCGTAAACAGTATTTATCCAATAATCTATGAGTTTTTTTTTATTATATAAATTATCATGTAAAGGTAATAAATTAAGAATACCGTCAAACGATAAACGAAGTGCGATTTTTAAAATTATAGGGGTTTAGACAAGTTATCTATTCTGTAAGCATTGTAGAATAGAAACATAAAAAAATATATAGTTTCAATATAATTTTTAAAGCTATTCTTTGACGATTTTAAAATGACTTCCTGTCTAAACCCTTTAGTTAGTTCCTCTTAAACTAAAAAATTACGTAAGCTTTTTTAAAACTGTGATGTAAAACTACTTCCGCAAAATATCTAGATGTATTATAATAACAGATATAGAGCAAAATATCTATTATTATAATGCAAAAGACATTTAATAATAGGTATAAAAATTTTAGAAGATAATTTTAATTGTAAATGGGTGTTTTGAAACATAAAGGTCTTGTAGCAATAAATGTATGGAAATAAAAGATATCATTATAACATGTTTTTTTTATTATGACCTGTATATTGCGCTTCTCTGGGTGTCCCAACCAAGCACGTTACCAATGAGCTACCACGCTAAATAGCATAAAAATAATAATTATATCTATCGAAATACAATGCAAGCTATGTGGTATCTCAAAATTCTCTATCTCATCACAAAATTGATATACATATCTATCTATAATCTATACTATTATTATACAGAGGAAAGATTTGATTTTCTGTTTGTTTGTACCAAAGAGGCTCCGAAACTACTGAACCGATTTAGATGAAATTTGGTGAGAAGATGGTTTGAGACCCTGGAAAGGACATAGGATAGTTTTTATTCCGTAAATCATCCCTTTAGGGGGTGAAAATGGGGATGAAAGTTTGTATGGTGGAAAAAACTAAGGACGAACCAGAGCGAAGCGAGGGTGAGTCGCTATTGTACAAATATAAGAACACCTCACTAATAATATATTTATAATAAGGTAAATTACTGTCATTAAACTATGAAAATCGATAATAACTTCAATTACCTATTAATTGATTAAACAACAAGTAAGTATTTTTGCATATAATGATAGCACGATTATTACAAGCTTATTACTTGTCTATGAATACTATGAATATCTAAATGCACAATACTTTTGTAAGTAATTTCGTAAAATATACGGTAAAATAGTGAAGGGGAAGAGGAATCAAAAAAAAACTTCGCAGTAAGCTCATTTAATTTTATTTTTTTGTTATAGCTTATTAATTTTTACATTCATTTTTGTCACAGTATCGTCATAATAATGTTATAATTTAATATAATTTATGTAAATAAATATTATATACAAATAATTTATTGAAGGGGTTACAGAAAGCCATAAATAAATAATATACTGTTGGCCGATTTCACCAACGTCACCTAAGTTTAAGGGATCCCCTAAGCATAGTTAGGGGGCTGTTAGGGGACAGTTTCTGTCTCACCGACAGTTAGGGGTCACCTAAATATTAAAATGCCACCTAAATATAGGTACTAGAAATACGGGCTCTGACTATGGTAAAACGAAATTTAATTTAGGGGCTAGTTTAAGGGACTTTTAAGCTAGGGATCCCATACGTCGGTGGTAGCTTATGGGGTTTTGGTGAAATCGGGCATGTAACACACTAATTTATTAAGATGGGAAGAAATCTTCAACTTTCATGCCATAGTAGTACCAAACCAAAGCCTCTGCAATTTCAATACTGAAGTCATATACTTTCATATTTAGATTGAATTCATTGAGTAAATATATGTCTTCCTTAGAAAGAGAAAAGTCGAAAACGTCGATGTTTTCTTGTATGTGATTTTTGTTAGAAGATTTCGATATTGGCACAGTTCCGCAATCCAACTGAAAAGAAAACTCATCATAAAATTATATATATGTACTAGCATTGCCCGGGGTTCCGCCCGCGTTCAAATGTCCAAAAACCAAATTCTTAGGTTTTACATATTAGTATACTCTTACATTGCAGTTTTTGTATTTTTTCTCAGAAATGAGATCTTTTCCCGCGGTAAAAATTGTCTTATATTACCCGGATAACTAGCTACCACCATTCCAAACATCAAAATCCCTCCAGTAGTTTTTAATTTTTTTTAATTAATTGTTTTGTAACTGTTTTCAGTAAAACAAACAACTAACAATCTTTCCAATTTTAATAAATTTATTATTAAAGATATAAATATTATAGAAGTAGTTTAAACTAATTCCTCAACAAACAAAAAACTTGCTCTAAATCCTTCATGTGAGAACTAAAAAAACTAAATAATACTTTAATATAAAATATAGATCTTACCAAGTAACGTATCAGTATTTGTCGAACAGTTTTTCCGTATTTTATTGACAAGCTTGTTAAATTTGGGTCATCAATCAGTGGTGGTGGTGCATAGTCTCTGAATGGTCGTGGAACTAAAAAGCCCATTGGAGCATAAGATGTGACCACTATACCTTCTTTTTGACAATAGGCCACCAAATCTAAGCTTGCATGAGTAGGATTTACCTAAAACATATTATATGTTACATTTATTCTGAAATTAGGAAGTTACTTGTACTTATTTTGTAGAGACATTGAATGCGTGAGGATATTTCTATTTTCTGCCAAACCTTTATTTATACCAAAACAACGACCTGTGAACATCAAACTAATGGTAATCTATACTAATATTATAAAGAGGTAAAGTTTGTGAATTGTGAATTTGTGACGTTGTAGGGGCTAGGTAATCTCTGGATATATCTCTGGATATCTCTATATATCTCTGGATATCGAACCGATTTAGATGAAATTTGGTAAGATGATAGTTTGAGACCCTGGAAAGGACATAGGATATCCAGTTAGGACATATTTTATCCCGAAAATCATCCCTTAAGGGGGCGACAAGGGGGATGAAAGTTTATATTTATTTATTTATTTATTATATGGGGAATCAACCTAGGGACGAACCCGAGCGAAGCTAGGGTAAGTTGCTAGTTGGTTATAAATTGGCTTGTAACAAAATATAAATTTATTATTAAAGAAAGATCTTTAATCATATCAGAATATAAAAGAGCCTTTTAAGGTTAATTAAAATCAGATATGTATTATTTTTAATCGTACTGTATATTGTTCACTTCAATTAAGGAGGTATTATAAATATAAAATAGATTCTATCTAATGGCTGGTAGGAATTAATCTTGATTGTCTATAATTAGAAAAGCATTTAATCAATGTTCTAATAGCATATTTTGAATTGTCATATAATAATGTATTTTCTGTTCACGACCCTAAAGTTTTAAATCCAATATGTAGTACTAGAGTAGCGGTTCACCCTCGCTTCGCTCGGGTTCGTCTCTAGGAAAACAGAAACTAATCTATCCCACGGTAACCGTACATTTTTCCGGGATAAAAAGTAGCCTACGTATTATTCCAGACTATAATCTATCTCTGTGTCTTTCATCCATTCTGGCGTAAAAGAGTAACAAACATCCATACTCACAAACTTTCACATTTATAATATTTATACAGATAATAATAACTCAAAACATTAAAGTGATTTTTAACATAATGTTCTTTTTAAATAAAAATCAATTTAAATTTATAATTAATTTTGGGTCTCTCAAAACACTCTAGGATCTCATATTTTTTATGACTTCGCCGTGGGTACTCTAACAGCTAACTCACTAAAACCCACTTCGGAATACTATTACCGCCGGTTATACTACACATGTAGGTATATTTATTTGCAAATACACTACAATGCCACGTCTATATTAGACTTCGGGTTCTCAGAACATCCTATCCCCAATGATCTCATCTTACCTCAACTTGATTAACTGCTGGTCGTATATTATTGTGTGTTAGGAGCCTATTGATATGAGAACTATTGAAATTGGACACGCCGATAGATTTAGCCAAGCCCATTCTTTTAACTTCCTCCATTCCTTTCCAAGTATCCACTAAATCGTATTCTTCTAAAGTTATCTGTCAAGGAAAATCATTGACTAAACATTTTAAAAATTATAATTATTATATTAATAGTATATAATATAGATACATTATGAAAATATAAATAAGTTTATGCAAACTGAAGTTAAACGAATAATTATTATCATCAAAGGATTTTTAGGGTTCTGTAGACAATTACAAAAACAGAGAATATTGGTACTATAAAGAAAATCAAGAAGAGGTTTCATAAAACTACTATGAAGTTAACGGTGAGATCAAATTAATAAAAAAAAATAAAAAAATGTACTACATACATATATATATCCCAAATTGGGGGAAAAAAATAATTTGAGTATCTATGTGAGCTATCTATTGATATGTCCTTAAAACTGAAATCGAATTTTGTAAGCACTGTGTTAACCCGTCATATTCAAAAAAAATATGTAAAGGTACTTTCAAGAAGAATTATTTTACAGATACATTGAAGAGTTTTTAAGATGTGGAATATTTTCGACTGCACTATAATTAGCGCTTTTTTAAAAGATTATCTATAGGTTTGAAAGAAAATTGCTTTGTATATTTCAACTGGATAATATCTAGTTTATATACTATAGCTTAAACACTAGCTGTTAGTTTATTAATGTATAGTTGGTCCATTTCTAAGAAACGTAGTATAATTTTAAAGAGCTTATAAAATAGGCACTAACAAGTAAAAATAATTTCACAAATCGGTTTCATAATTCCAGGGATCAATCATGAGAAATCGATAAGTGATTTTGTAAAAATTCTTACCCAATTATTTGGTATGTGAATGAGATATAAATCCACATAATCCAGTTGTAATTTATTTAACGATGTATTAAGCGCCGAGAGAACCATTGATCCGTTCAATCCGAAGTCGAGCTGAAATATTTATAATCTAATTAATTATTTATATTATAAATGCGAAAGTTTGCATAGGTGTGTATTACACCTTCACGTTAAAAAGGCTGAACAGATTTTCATGAAATTTAGTACGCAGATAAACTATGGCCTAGAGCAACATAGAGACTACATACTCCCAAGTAAAGCAAGTCACTAGAAATATTATAATTCAAGCAATGACACTACAACGCTGGCCAAAAACGGGTTTGTGGGCATATTTGATGTTAAATTTTAAATTCACTTGACTAATAGAAGCAATAGACAATCAAACAGATAGCAATAAGAAATTTTAATATGGTTAAAACTTGTATGTTAAACCCTAAATATTCTTCGAACGAATTTTTGAACAAACATTACCGAAACCAAACCACTAAAAACCACCAATTCTAAACGATTTATTTTAATTAAATTAAGTCTCGAAATCTAGTATTCAATTGAACCTCATTTGATATGACATCGGCAACCTTTAGCCTATGTGATGATACAAAAGTGACAGCAGATTAGTTCATATATTCTTATTTGTTACTTTTACGAGAGTTGAATAATCCGTCATTGCCATTACCTTTGTTGTTATAAACAAATCTTCTCTCTTAACAATACCTCCAGTGGTAACATTTTTTATAGCTTTACCGACTTCCTCCTCATTTAAATATACGGCAGCGGTATCAATATGCCTGTATCCAGCTTTTACCGCCCATATCACTGACTGTCTAACTTCAGTTGTAATATCAACTATCTAAAATAAATCAATAATTAAAGAATAAAGATTAATAATGCTATACAAATTGTAATTCATTATTATTTTATGAACACGATACAGTTAAAAGTAGCAAAATCGGCCAAGCCGTTTCCGATAAATCGATGAACTTACTTAAAAAACATGTAAACATTAAACAGACGAACAAAAAACCTTCTCCTTTTTTAAAGTCGGTAAAAAATTACTCAGATTTTTCTTAAACATTTGCATGAACTTTTTCTTTATGATCAATTTTAACCGGCTTCAAAAAATGAGAATGTTTTATGTTGAGCTGGGTTTTTAAGTATGATCTCCTAAGTACTTCTATATAACGTAATAATATATTTAAATATTACACCTAAGGCAGATTAACTTACCCTACCAAATGTACCGAACGCGATGGTGGGCATTTCGTTACCATCATTTAGCCTTATCTTTGGTTGGTCCTTTGCCGAGACTCCAACCTATAAATATAAAAAAATGATAAGTTGAACATAAAATTGAATTGAATTTCACAATTGTATTCAGCCCTTTTTAACGTCCCACTACTGGGCACGGGCCTCCCTTTAATACGAAGGTATCAGGCCATAGTCGACTACGCTGGCCAAGTGCGGGTTGGCGGACTTCACATGTCTTTCGAAAACTTGCTAGGTTCTCTCTGACATGCAGGTTTCCTCACGATGTTTTCCTTCACCGTTAGGCAAGTGGTAATCATGTTAGAAATGATTGGCACATGAAAATATCAGAGGTGTGAGACCCGGGATTTGAACCCGCTTCACTCGGTTTCCCAAGCGAGCGCGTTACCACTGGGCTACCATTGCCTTTTCACAATTGAGTTTGCACGAAATATTGAAGAATGTTGCCTTCTAAGGAATTAGGAGTGGTTAAATATAAGACAAAAATGTATTATCATCATGATCTTTAGATATACCTACCTATGTGTATTACTACACTATAATATATTCCTTCACCTGAAAAAAGTATAGATGATTTCTTCACTATACGTAATAATCAATTTAATTAATTCGAAAATTCAGTTTATACTATATATATGTACTATACTAATATTATAAAGTTTGTGAGTTTGTGACGTTGTAGGGGGTAATCTCTGGATCTACTGAACCGATTTAGATGTAATTTGGAAGAAGATAGTTTGAGACCCTGGAAAGGACATAGAATACTTTTTAGCCCGGAAATCGTCCCTTAAGAAGGTGAAAGTGTGGATAAACGTTTATATTGGGAAGCAAGGACGAACCCGAGCGAAGCGAGGGTGAGTCGCTAATCCACTATAAATTAATTAAACAACCAATCGAAAAATGTAATTCAGTAACTGAAGAAATACTTCTAAGCTGACAAAATAAAATCCCTACAAAAATAATGAGCTTTTTCTGAGATAAAATGTATGAGTATATATTGTATGAGTACAATACGTATTTTAAAAAAAATATACCATCGAGAAAATTTTCATCAATAGTATTTTCAAATTTGAAAATTCCAAATAAAGGTCCGAAGATTCTTTTTACTAAATATAAAAGTGGTTACTATCACAGATTCTGAGATAAACAACAATGTCTACGTACAAAATTGCCATAAGCATACTCTTACGAGAAAAAATAAAAAATGCCATATCATAATTCTTACCAGTAAAAACACTAAAAAACTTATTAATTTTAACATTTTTAATCCTACGAGTACGAATATAAATTAATAAATGTTAATAATCATATAAATTTACCTGACAATATATACATCCAAACGATATCTTAAAAGATTGTTATCACTGACATCACAAATAGTGCAATATATTTTGATTAATAATTCCATTAAGATTGCATTCTATTAATGTACTTATTCTTATTATTTTTATAAAACAGCAATCTGAGTATATTTTTATTTCTAAAATACTATTCTTTATTAATCTTTTCATCAAAATATACGTATTAACAAAGTTTAACGGCTAATATAAGGTGAGGTTTTAACCTTTAGAATCTAGATTTTACTGTCATGAAATACTCTGTAGCAGCCCGGAGTTTGGAAGTTAACTGTGTATATGTCGTGGCCAGATCGTAGAATTAATCGCTTCGTAATGTGGCTGACCATTTTATGAAATGGTTGCATTTCATGAAATGGTCAATATCTTACTAGTATACTATCAAACTTCGCATTTCTGTTTGATATTATTAGAATGTTCTTTTCTGATCATAATATACGTATATAACATTTATAATCATTTATTTTCTTAAAATATTGTTTAGTCTAGTGTAGAATTTCTCTAACTCACTTTTATGGGAAAACTAGCGACTCACCCTCGCTTTGCTCAGGTTTGTCCCTAGGTACGTTTTGAGGTTTAGTATAGAATAGTTTTTTTTTTTCTTTTAATGATTTTAATGTTTTAATAGTTATCCTGCTATTTGGGGTGAAGACAAATCCAACAAATCAAAAATCATAAAATTCTGTCGAGCAATTCTCGAGTTATAGGTGTTTTAACAAACCCGTTTTATATAGGTATATTAAGATGTGAAACTTAGTTCATTTATCTACATCTGTATAGACCTATGTATAATGTAAAGCAAAGTGTTTTTTTTTTTCAGGATACTTGAGACGCTGCGCGCTGGTTGTATAACTTTTTGTATATCCATGACCTTAATATATCATACTGATATATCATGATGATATTCATATATAAAAATAATAAATCATAAGCTGGCAATAATCATCCTATGCAACAACACTTGTTGTTTAATTGATTAATAGATAATTGAAATAATTATATATCATCGCGTATCGCGTTCAGATGACCAAAAACCAAATTCTTAGATTTTACGTATTAGTATACTCTTACATTGCAGTTTTTGTATTTTTCTCAGAAATGAGACATTTCCCCGCGGTAAAGTATCCTGTATGTTGACCCGGATAACCAGCTAATCACCATACCAATTTGGTAAAATTGCTTCAAAATCCCTCCAGAGGTTTTTCTGTGTTGCGGTAACAGACAGACAGACAGACAGACGGACAAAAATTCTAAAAACTATAAATTCGGCCTCTGTATCGATAATAATGTTTATTTCAATAAGTTTTTCAAAAAATATTTAATGTACAGATTCGGCATAGTTACAATTTTATTATATGTATAGACTAGCATCGCCCGCGGCTCCGCCCGCGTTCATATGACCAAAACCAAATTCTTAGGTTTTATATATTAGTATACTCGTATTAGTATATTAGTTGACCCGATAACCAGCTATTACCATACCAAATTTTCTGAAAATCCTTCCAGTGATTTTTCTGTGATTTTATGAGACCAAAATTCTTAAAACTATAGGTTCGGCCTCTGTCAACGATAATAATGTGTATTTCAAGAATATTTTCCAAAAAGTATTTAAAGCACAGATACTGCTTCATTAAATTTTAATATATCTATAGATGTAACTAATTTATAAAGCCAAAAAGATTGTTTTTTGACAATTTAAACACGGGCGGGGCCGCGGGTAATTTAGTAGTAATTCTAATAAAATCATAGAAAGGTCGAATTTGTAGATTTAATTTATTGGAATTAAAAAAACGTATTTTAAAGACACACGGCGACATCTATTGACAAATATCAATATATTACATAAATAAATATTCATTAACACGTTCACTGCGTCATCATTTTGAAAGAACTTTCAGCTGGTGCTTTGGAGACCTAAAAGATCTCGAAACTAGCCTACCCTTTGGTGCGTTAGAGACCTAATCAGTCTCCTAAAAATACAGTTTTGAAAATAATTTATATCTTCCAAAAAACTAATGACATATATTTTAAAGTTTTTGTGGGTCAAGAGAGCCTATTGCTCTACATTTTGCTAGGTTCGAAAAAGTTTTATTAAAGAAGTTTGTTTATAAACTATGCAAAGTGTTTTTCATTAAAACATAGTAAGCACATTGATTATTTGCATTGCGTGCAAATGGTATTTTTTCAGCTTTTTTTAGAAGCGTCAGTGCTGTTTAATGTGCGTCGTAATTTTTCATAACAACCCACACAACGTCTTTTTTTGTCGCCACGTTGGAAAACATGATCTGTACATCTTCCTTCGGGGAATTCTGTAATAAAAAGCATTATATTTTCCAAAATTGTAATTATACTGGACGATGCAGCACTATAATCCAGCGTTGATTTTTCATTCTTAGAAATCTCACCAAAATAAAACAATTTTATTAAATAATTAAATAAAATATATTAAATAAAAATTTTTTTACACTTTTTCGAAACGTGCGCGCAACCTCCCACGTCGACACTAGGACAACACTAAATCGATTCACACAGCGCCCGCGCCCCTCAACCTCACTTTCTTGCGTCTACGAGGCGTACGATTCCACGAGTATCGACATGTCTCCTAACGCAAGGAATAAAAATAATTATACTACTGTGCGTTAGGGACCTAATCCATCTCTATTTATTTTTTTTATGTCCTCGAATTCACCTTTAAGTAGGAAGCAAATATGTATATTTGTCTTACTCATACTTAAAGAACTTTACACGTTAGAGCCTCCCGCAAGGAGTGAAACAACACGATTATAGTCAACGCACAGTACAAAAGTTCTGCAAGAGATCTGATAGATCTCGTAATGCAGTGAACGTGTTAAAATAATTTTTTTAAGAATAAAATAGTGCTATTGATATACTTTTTCAAGATTTAGCTAATATATAAATTTTTAATAGTTTTTTGCGAGACTAAGTAAATCCGTCATCGCCACTACCTTGGTTGCTTATAAACAAATTTTCTCCCTTCACAATTCCTCGAGCGATAACATTTTTTTAAAGCTTTACCGATTTCTTCCTCATTGTAAAACATCTCCTCATCAATCAGACATTTTTTTCTTTATCTTTATGATCAATATTAACCGGCTTCAAAAAGGAGAATTTTTCATGTTGTGTCGGGTTTTTTAGTTAGTTATCTACTAAGTATTTCTATATAACGTAAATAAACATTACATCAAAGGCAGATTAACTTACCCTACCAAAGGTACCGAATGCGATGATTGGCATCTCGTTACCATCATTTAGCAATATCTTTGGTTGGTTCTTTGCGGAGAGTGCAACCTAAAAATATAAAAAATAATAGGTTGAAAACGTGAAATTTATTATATGTTCCTTATATGATGTAGGCATCCGATAAGAAAGTATTTTTCCAAATTCATCCCCTAAAGAGGGAAAAAATGAGGGATGTCATCCTTAATGTGACAGGCATGGTACGTGATATTCAGCTTTAAGATAAAACATAAAAAATAAAATAATATTTTTTTTTCAAAATTCATCCCTTAAAAACGTGAGTAAAACTGGTTATTGAAGTTAATATAGGCAAAAAAAAATTATATTCAGAATTACTTAAAACTTTGTATTACTGCCCTCATAATGCAAAAGGTGTTGATATCACAACCACCAGATGGGTGGAATATATGCTCTCCAACCGGTGTGCGAAAGTTACGCTAAACGAACACTCGCACAACTTCCACACTACAAGAGGCTGTCCGCAAGGAGGAGTGCTTTCACCCCTATTATGGACACTAGCTGTAGACCTACTACTTGTAATCATGGCAGATCTTGACTACGATACACAGGGCTATGCAGATGACCTTGTTGTAGTAGTAAGAGGTCCCTGCCTGAACACAATTTCCACCAGGTTACAAGGAGCTCTCAATACCATCACAAGATGGTGCAGAGAAAATGAATTATCAATAAACGCTGATAAAACAGTTATTGTACCATTTACCAGGAAAAGGAAGCTTGAAAGGCTGACTGAACTCAGACTCAATGGCAAAACCCTTAACCTATCAAATGAGGTAAAGTACCTTGGAGTCACTATTGATCAAAAGTTGACCTGGAACTCTCACCTCAACAACATTATACAAAAAGCCAAAATGGCCCTCTGGATATGTTGTCGAATGGCTGGAGCCAAGTGGGGCCTCAAACCCAAAATGGCTCTCTGGATGTACACCGCCGTGGTAAGGCCGATCATAACATATGCCTCAGTCGTATGGTGTAACAAAACCAAACAAAAGACAACTATGAGTAAACTAGACAGCATACAACGGATGGCATGTCTAATCATCACGGGAGCCTTCCATTCGGCACCAGGCGACGCTCTAAATGCTTTGTTGGACATAGCTCCGCTATATCTCCATGTGCAAAAAGAAGCTAAATCTTGCCTCTACAGGCTCTGTACACAATCGAATGTAAAGTTGCAATCGCAATATATGAACAAACTCAAAGAGTTGACATTCGAACACAAAACTCTGAAAATGCCAGTCGATGGCATGAGTACAGAGTTTAACTTCGCAAAACAGTACCAAATAGATCTTCCCAACCGGGACATGTGGCTAAAAAACCAAGAGTCTCACAAAAAGGGCAGTCATGTTTGGTTCACAGATGGATCCAAGAAAGGATCTGATGTAGGGTGCGGTATCTATGGCCTTAAGCCTAGATTTGACATGATTATCAATCTGGGCAAGGAGGCCACCATCTTCCAAGCCGAGGTCTTCGCCATCAACAAATGTGCTGAAGTCATCCTGGAGAGGAAGCTTAGAAACCAAAATATCTACATCAACTCAGATAGCCAAGCAGCACTTTTGGCTATAGATTCTCTTGAGACCAACTCTAAGCTGGTCAAAGACTGTAAGGAAAATCTGAATGTCCTGGGCACATCCAACAGAGTTACCCTCAGATGGGTCCCGGGTCACTCAGGCATAGATGGGAATGAAAAGGCTGATGCACTGGCAAGAAGGGGTGCTGAAACCCCAGTATGTGGCCCAGAACCATTTTGTGGTATTGCAAAACAACATGCCTATTCAATTCTCAAAATTCATTGCAATCGCCAAGCACTTCAAGAGTGGCAATCCACTTCTGGACAAATACACTCTAAAGCGCTAATTAAGGGATATCGCAGAAAGTTTACAAAAGAGTTGCTTCAACTCAACAAGTATAAAACCAGTGCAGTAACCAGAATACTTACTGGTCACTGCAAACTCAATAAACATATGTTTACCCTCGGCCTCAGTCAGACCGCAATGTGCAGACTATGCCATGAGACAGAGGAAACTGCTATGCACATCCTCTGCTCGTGCGGTCCACTCAAGCACCGCAGAAGTATCTATCTAGGGCAGCATATTATGCAACCGGAAGAGATACAGATGCTCCCCGCTCAGAAAATCTGGAAGTTCCTGGAGTCAACAGGACTAAGCGGAGAACTTTGAACTCATTATAAAGGGAGCTACAATGGACCTAAACTGGTCGACGTAGCTAAGGGCCGACCCCGGCACCACACCCAACACAATAATAATAATAATACTGCCCTCATCTTTCATGATTTAAATCTATACATATAATAAAATTCTAACTGAGCCGAATCTGTACATTAAATATTTTTTGGAAAACCTTATTGAAATAGACATTATTATCGATACAGAGGCCGAATCTATAGTTTTTAGAATTTTTGTCTGTCTGTCTGTCCGTCCGTCCGTCTGTCTGTCTGTCTGTTATCGCATCACGGAAAAACCACTGGAGGGATTTTGATGAACTTTGGTATGATGATAGCTGATTATCCGGGTATCTTCTTACTGCGGGAAAATATCTCATTTCTGAGAAAAAATACAAAAACTGCATTGTAAGAAAGAGCATACTAATACCTATGTAAAACCTAAGAATTTGGTTTTTGGTCCTCTAAATGCGGACGGAGCCGCGGGCAATGTTAGTCTTTAATACAATTAAATAAATAAGTGTTTTAGCATTTGTCAAGATTCATCCTATAAGAGGGTAAAATAGGGAAAGAAAATTTGTATGAATATCTGTAATTGTTTATGTGAAATGCGCACTGAATGTGGTATTTAGTTTTAAAATAAAAAATAAAACAATACCTACGTAATTCAGATTTTTCAAAATTCATCCCTTGAAGGTCGGGAAATATAAATCCAATAATAAATCCGCAAAAAAATCCAAAAAGATACCTTTATTTAAAATCACACCGAATAGAAAGGAACAAGAACGGCGGTTATAGATATAAATCACCTGTCCATATAGGTAGAATAGGTAAAAAGCAGTCTACGTCACTCTCCAGCCCTCCAACTATCTAACAAAAAATCACCCCAATCCATCACTCTCTTTCAACGGGAAATTAATTCTAACTACAAAGTGTAAGACTAAAATAATTTTATTACTCGGCGCTCCCCCTCGCTTAGCTCGGGTTCGCCTCTAGAAAAACTAAAACAAATCTATCCCTCGGGAACCGTATATTTTTCCAAAATAAAAAGTAGCCTATGTGTTATTCCAGACTATAATTTATCTCTCTGCCAAATTTCATCCAGATCCGTTCAGCCGTTCTGGCGTGAAAGAGTAACAAACATCCATACATACTCAGAAACTTTCACATTTATAAAATAAATAAACACGTGTTTTAACATTTTTGTAATTCATCCTGAAGGGGGATAAAATGAGTGGTAAAGTTAGTAAGAAAATCCGCCATTATTATTGTTCAAATTAAGTATTCAAGATAAAAAATAAACAATACGTGTTATCAATCAGTTTATTCGAAATTCGTCCCATGAAACGGTAAAAATATAATAAGGGTCGAGGTGACTTAAAAATCAGAATTAATGCTATTGACGATTAATTAATAAAGCAGTTAAAGACTTAAAAAAGTTGTTTTTAAATAAAATTACTTTGAACTACGAGTATATATGTATCTAAATGAAAATATTAATATATTTTATACTCACTTTATACATACTTTTTACACACAGTAATCGTGACCATGTCGATGACGACATACATGAATTTACTCCCCATCCAAACCTGCATATATAGAAGTTTTCACTTCAAAAAATACGTTAAGATCGGATAAGTTCTTAGTTTCGGAGTTCATCCCGGACCAACATCGTGACACGGAAAGGATAGGAATTTATAGGAATTTATAGGAATTTGATACTAAATAAATAAATTTCATAAAAAAATCATTTAATTTCAAGGTACAGGTTCGTACATAAATTTAAAAATTTACACCTTAATTTTATGTCATTAGTTTAACCTTCCTCAGAGTTCATCAGATTATTTATATGTATGTAAGTATATTCCTGTACAAAATTTAAAAACTTAGATTAAAATAGTCATTGAAATAGAAACTAGAATAATATTTTTTAATGTTTAATCATCAATATAACCCTTTAGAAATGGATGCAGTATCACATCCACTAGCGAAATTATATAAAATATCTGCACTGGAAAGATCGTCAGTAGGGTAAACTTTAATATTTTTATTAAATTCGTTAATAAGGTAAACTTCCTCTTTCGTGAGACGGAAATCAAAAATATCAATATTTTCTTCAATTTCGTTCTCAAAAATTGAGTGAGGAATTGGTATTGTGCCGCGATCGATCTAAAACAAATAGACGTAGGTAGTATAAGTTAACAATAGAGAAAATATTACCCAATTGCACAAATGTTAAAACGTACTTTATGGAGTAAATATATATAATATATACAAAGCAAGTCAGTCGTCAGTCAGTTTCAGTAGCAAAAGTAGTTTACTAGATTTTTTTTTATTTGAGTCTACTAACTTTTTTTGACACTCATTGTTGCTATTATAATGATATATTATGTGTATTTCTAAAACACACAGCGTTACGATGAAGAAAGCTGTTGTGTGAACCTGCCTTTAATTATCTGTGGTAAAACTTACCGAGTTATCTATGGTTTTATACCTGTCTCTTTCTCTCACCAGCGTGCTTCATTTTCCATCTCAGAAGTCATAGCATTTGTGAATTTTGACGCGAAGACACAGCAAAATTTTGTTAAAGTTAAAGTTATTCGAAAATACTCTTGAAATACATTTAAAATATTGTGTTAAATTATCGCACAGCGTCAAATACGTATACGTATTTTAACTTTATAACATAAAGTAGTGATTTGTAGTAGTGATGAATCCGGAAGAGATCGAGGCGGTAAGTTTTGGAGGTAAACAATGTTCGAATGCTTGGAACTTTGGAAGGACATCTATTATAAGATAAATTTACAATTGTATTGCTACTCCTGGTTTTATAAGTGTTAATGAAGAGTTGTGTCATTTTGATAAAAATAAAGATTATCTTGCCTCCACTGAACAATTAAAATTTAAATTATGAATATTGTTGAATATAATATTAAATTAAAAATTATTTGCCGGGTTATCAAATAACATTTTAGAGCAAATATAGTTGTTGAGATCATGCTTACAAGATTTACTAGGCTGGAGAGCTGCCAATATTAATTCACACACATTGTTTGATAAATTTACTAGTACATTTGGCCCGGGTTCACTATCTTAAAAAAATTCTGAAACTAATGCAAATAATCTGTGGTAAAAGGGCTAAGTGCAATGAGGTGAAACGGGACCATATTTTAAAAGAGATTACTAATCCAATCTTATGAAATACACTTACGAAAGTCAAGAATATCTTTTAGTCGTAAAACCGTGCAGCCGTGTTGATGATAGCTCCCTTAGGTGGTTCTCAGGTGGCTTAACACACCTCCTTACGTTAGGGAAAAAAGAGTCTTAGATACACCACAATTTCAAAACAAAAGACATTTCAAATCAAATTATTCAAATATTAAAGACAATTATAAATCACAATCATAAAAGAAACAAAATCCTAAATTTAATACTTATCAGCCCTTTCGTAGAAATTACACAAAACACACCTCCAAGTAGTAAATAAAGTTGACCATCAGATCAGGAATTTCATGGGGATTTGCCTAAAAAATTAGGTTCATATGTGGCAGCAGCTCGGAGCCAGCAGCTACATAATGAAATTAATAACTGTACTCGAATCCCATTTTCAAATAAACCTCCTGCACAATTTCTAGATAACAATGTGTTAAAAAAAAATTTGCTACCAGGGAGACAAAAGACATGACGGACATGATTCTTCAATTAAAGCAGAAAAACATATTAGAGGCACCTCTAAACATGAACGCAGGATTTCTTTGTCGAATGATTTATTTATTTATATATTTCTTTCGAAAAGTGAGAAACTCAGACGGGGGTCTGCGTCCCGTGTTCGACCTCGGAGGACTCAATTCTTATGTAGCAGTGAAACATTTTCAACTAGTTTCACAGATTGATGTAGCAAAATTTTTACAAACAAACAATTAGCTAGTGAAAATAGACATTCACCAGGCCTATTTTCACCTACCAATTGCAGAGGCGCACAGAGGGTTTCTAAGGGTGATGTACAACAACGAACTTCATCAGCTGACTGCCCTACCATTTGGTCTGTCATCAGCCCTTAACATGTTCGCCACAGTCTCTAGCTGGGTTGCGGAAATCCTTTGAGTACAAGGGTGCTGCATATTAGTTTATCTGGACGATTATTTGATGGTCAATCAGGACAAACCAGTACTTGTGTCACAGGTTGCGGAAACCTTGAGAACATTAGAAACCACAAGCGTTACAGCAATGTTCTTGCTGGTGAGATGAAGGCTCTATGAACTAAAACTTTAAGACATGCTTCTGACTTCTGAGACGGAAGATGAAGCCCGCTGGTGAGAGAAAGAAACAGGTATAAAACCATAGATAACTCGGTAAGTTTTACTATAGATACTTAATTAAAAGCAGGTTCACACAACAACTTTCTTCATCGTGACGCTGTGTGTTTTATTCAACACATAATACCTTTTTTTGTTGTAATGCAAAACAGTAATATTTTTTGTGGCGATGTAAATGTTAATATCCTCACTCCAGAGGTACTTCTACAATTAATTCACAAATAAAAGAGCTCTTATCTTTTGGCAGTCTCTTCTTCAGGGTAATAATGATTACTTATCATTATTACCCTGAAGAAGAGACTGCCAACTGATTAACATTTAAGCGTTAAGAGCTTGTAAAAAGTTAACAAAGGTCTTGAAATTTTGTCAAGTTTTTTTATATATAATTATTAAATCATACCAAATAACGTAGAACCACTTGCTTTGTCGATTTTCCATATTTATTAGCTATGATTTTCAAAGTTTGGTCATCAAACGTCGGCGGACGAGCTGTTATATTTCTGAAAGGCCTCGGCACCATGAAACCGTAAGGTCCGTAAGACATTACCGCAATACCTTCTCTTAAACAGTAGGCAGTTAGCTCCAGTTCAGTATATGTTGGATTTACCTAAAATCAAAAATCTATAATAATATAGACAATAGAAATATAAAGAATGTACAAACAAAAAACAATAGGATAATATAATTCGCATATGTGAAACTTTATAAAAAAAATATAGCCAAACCAATTTTAAGGGTTTTTTTTAAATCTTTCGAAACAGATTTTGTATGAACTGAAAGATTGTAAATTTTATTGAAATTTGAACAAAACTACATAATATTTTTACCCGACTGCGGCGAAGCCCAAAGGAGGCCCTGTGCCTGTTACCTGTATGTACATAAGTATGTCCGTTCCTACGTTCACGATTTAGATGATTCACAGGTCGTTAGATTCGTCTTGATAACTGGAGTAAATTACATACTATGCAAAAACAACATAATAATCCCACAAAATATGGGATAAAAGTTACATAAATGTTTACGATGACCAGATATGCAAAAAAAGTAACAGCATAGCTTTCAATAAAACTTTATAATATGCTCGGCGTGACAAAAATCGCACCCTTACGTTTTTTTCAGTAAATCGCTCCTAAAATCTAGCACATAAAAACCACGTGTGAAAAAAATATATCATTGTAAAGTGCACTTTAATATCATTACATTTATTACCTGTATCATTAAAAATCAATTACCATTTCTAACCAGGGGCCAATCAATAAGTTGTTGGAAATGGAAATGGAAATGCTCACTTAAGGAGCGCTAGTTGAGCTAACTTAAAAAGGTATAAAAGTTCATGTCCAGGTAAAAAATGGGTCAGTCGCTACTCAGACTTTAGAGTGAACACACCGGAACAACATACGCAAAAGAACAATACCTGAAGATGGATACAACCCCTGAAGAAGCCGCTCAAATCATTGCGCTATTGCAAACAGGACTGCGACAGGTTGACATTGCTCGACAGTTGAACCTTAGCCGATTCTGAGTTCGACGAGTGTACCAACGGTTCTGTGAGACTGGTGGCTATACGCGAAGACGTGGATCCGGAAGAAAACGCTACACACCAGAAAGAGACGACCGCTTCATTGTGTCCACGTCGTTGCACCACCGATTCAGCAATGCTGTTGATTTGCAACAAGAGCTCCGATCAGCTCGCAGAACGTCTGTGCACCCACAGAATTCTCTACGAATAGAAGAAGATTGAAATAAAAGAAATTAAGAGCTCACAGACCTGCTAGGAACCCAAATTTGTCTCTGCAGCATCGAAGAAAGTGGTTGCAATTTGCTCAGGAGCATGCCAACTGGACGCTTGACTAGTGGAGGGCCGTTCTCTTTACCGATAAGACACGAGTATGTCTATTCTGCAACGACAGACGCAGAAGAGTATAGCGAAGAAAACGAGAGCGTTTTACGCAGGCTTGTATAGAGGAATCCATCGAATACGGCGGTGGTTCTTTATATTCTGGGGTGGCATATCCGTCGAAGGGAAAACGGAGCTTGTGTGCATTTCTCGGACTGGCGGTGGTCGCGGGCAAGGGTCGCTGAATGCTGGGCGGTACATAACGGAGATCTTACAAGACCATGTGGTCCCGTATGCCGATTTTGTTGGTGATGGGTTCATATTAATGCATGATAACACCCGTTGCCACACTGCGTTTGCTGTGCGGGACTACTTGGAAGAGGTGGAAACCGCTGCTATGCAGTGGCCAGCACGAAGCCCAGACCTGAACTTGATCGAGCATTTCTGGGACGATGTAAACAGGCACGTACGAGCACGAGATCCTGCTCCCACCACTCTCCAAGAGCTCCAGGATGCCGTGACGGAAGAATGGGAGAACATACACCAAGAGAGAGTGGTGACTCTCGTAACGTCCATGAAGGATCCGATGAAGCTATCATCAAAGCAAGGGAAGGAAATATTAGATTTAAAGGACTTATTAGTAATTTTTTAAATGTTTTTAATTTAATTTTTTGTATCTTTGTCCCTTTTTAAGTTTTTTTTATTAAAAGATTTAAAACACATACACAAGTTTTTAATTTCTAATAGGCCATCAAATTACCATTCCAATGATATCCTACAACCACACCCTTACTATTGACAAAGTTTGAGTAAAAGTATTTTAAAGTTGCTTTTTTAAAAGGTGCGATTTTTGGGACGCCGAGTTAAAAATTGAATTAATTTTTAACATATCTTACAGCCCACCATATCCCAAAATCTTATAGGTAAATATATACATATTATTATAGAACCTCAATTTCATTAACAGCTGGTCGGATAGAGCCATAAGTTAGAATTTTATTGATATGTGAGCTGTTAAAATTCGACACGCCAATTGACACCGTTAATCCAATTTTTTGGGCTTCCTCCATACCTCTCCATAGACCCAAAATGTCATACTCTTGACCTGTTCCCTTCAAAATTAAAAACCAACACATTACAATATTACAATTAATATTATGAATATTCTTCTAACAATTTTGGAGAACCTTTAAAATTAACCAACAATTTGAAAATATATTTACCTACCACGTCTAATGAAAAATGAATGAGAAATAAGTCCACATAATACAACTGCAGTCTTTCCAAGGAGCTCAGTAGTGATGGAATTACTCCAGCGGTGTTGTTTACTCTCAGATCTAACTACAATATTAAATTTACATTAATTAATAACTTCTTTTCGGGAAAATCCGAAAAGACAGTTTCATTTAAAATGACAAATTTGCGTAAATCTAAGAAAGTATTATAAGAAAACAACTCTTAAGTCAAATTAAGCTCTTAAAATCTTATAAAAGACTAGCATTGCCCGCGGCTCCGCCCGCGTTCAGATAACCAAAAACCAAATTCTTAGGTTTTACATATTAGTATACTCTTACATTGCAGTTTTTGTATTTTTCTTAGAAATGAGACATTTTTCCGCGATAAAAAGTATCCTATATGTTAACGCGGATAACCAGCTATCACTATACCAAATTTCATCAAAATCCCTCTTGTGGTTTTTCTGTGATGCGGTAACAGACAGACAGACAAAAATTCTAAAAACTATAGATTCGGCAGCCGTCCTCTTTATCGATAGATAAAGTCTATTTCAATAATATTTTCCAAAAAATATTTAATGTACAGATTCGGCTTAGTTACAATTTTATTATATGAATAGATGAGTGCAAACAGTATTTCTGATCTGAGGATACCTTAACATTGTACAAAAAAACAATATTCTATGCATCCAATATCGCAATTTGTTCTTTAACTGGGAATTTTAATTTATACTCGTAATCGCATTTTTATACGATAAAACTAGAAATTAACGTTTTTAGATTTCCTCCTTCATTTGTACCAAGAAAATAATAAAAAATGTTTCATAATTTTCATACTATGTATACTTATTACCAATCCTTTCATATTACTACTCAATTATTTGAAACGTTTTTCTTTACAAGTCGACTTGGTTTGGTGGTCAGCCTTTGGCAGACCTGCCGCCGGGGCGCAGTAGTAGTTATGCGCAAGCGATCCTGCGGTGTCCCATTAAGGCGGAGGGGAGGGGAATGTCGGGTTTTAGTGGGTAGTACCGGCTCTTCTAGCCGGTGAGCCCCACATCACCACGTGGGGGATCAGGTGGTATGCGTAAATGCATTTCCCGACACAAAAAAAAAGGTTTATTTATGGATACTTTTGTGATCAATGTTAAATGTATAGGCTTACCTTGGTAGTGATAAATAATTCCTCTCTTGTCACAATACCACGGCTTGTTACGTTATTTATGGCATTACCGATCTCACCCTCGGTGCAATAAAGGGGCGCTGTATCAATATGTCTATATCCAGCTTCAATTGCAGTAATTACTGCTTGCTCTATCACGCCTGGATCTCTTTCAGATTTATACTAAAAGTCAGAAATATTTATATGTTTTTTTTTACCAAAAAATCATCATATGTTTTATGGAAGACAAGTACCTAGTTAGCGAGTTAACAATAGCATAGTAAGAAAAATATACGAGAAAAATGATATATACTTACGGGAGTAAATGTACCGAGAGCAAGTGTTGGTATTATGTTGCCGTCGTTCAGTATTCTATAATCGGGATAACTTACGTACGAGTACGATTCCGAAATCACAGTTATAAAATCGTTCTAAAAACAGATTATAAGTTAAAAATATAAATAAATGAACGTTGAACTTGAAGAATTAACAAAGAAAATACTTACTGCCCTTGCAACTGAAACTAAAATTAATATCAGAAATAACATGTTAAAATTACTATTAGTAGAACTGGGAAACCTAAATAGACATTCTATTTCATAACAGGTACTCTTAAAATGACTAAAAATATATTACCTACAATTAAATTTTGAACATAAATCAGCCTCGAACAATCTAGGTACTTTTTATGATTACTTCGTTAGCACGATTTCAAATTAAACTTTATGGAATTCAATAAATATTTAGGCACGAGTAGCTATCAATCAGTGAATTACTTTAATAACTACTATTAATTTCTTGTGTCTTTAATCGAATAAACTTCATATTTTACTCCAGTCATGGGTGCTTATATTTTTATTATGTATGTATTTAAAGTTATATATGTGTAGTGTATCAACTACTGGTAACTATAGCACAAGCCTCTAGCTTACCATGGAACTAGATGGTACTGTGTGTTAATGTCCCAACATATTTAAAAAAAAACGAATTATTAAGCCAGGAGGTGGATAGTGGAACTCTGCACTTCTTCTTTTTCTTCTCCCTGCCCATTTTCCAATCACTTGGGATCGGCGCAGTACATCTTCTGTACTGCTGATAGGATTTTCCAAAAAGGTTTACGACCGGCTGCCTGCCTGACGTCAACCCTCCTTGGGAATGCTATTGTTAGTGGAACTCTTCACTTGCTACTAGAAAACCTTCTAGTTTAGGCTCATTTGATTAAAGCCAGTAAAAAGCATGTGTTTTTAATTATTTATTATAATATTTTCTATTTTTATATGCAATAAATCTAACAAAGGTGAAGTCAGAGTATACTGCTAGTTCTAATTATATTTCACTTTCAAAATCCACAATTTTGATCTTAATTTGGTAAGCACGCTGAATACATGGATAAATTTTGATTTTTTCTTAGTTATAATAAAGCATATATATAATAAAATCAATAAAATATTTAAAAAAAATGTTAAGATATAAATGAAACCACGTAATAATAATATTAAACTTTATTAAAAACCTACATAAGTATATCTTATCAATAACTAGTTAATCATCATGTACCAGAAGGGATAGTTGGGATATTCTATCCAAACCTAGAATTTAATAACACGGATGTTTTTGTTGAATTTGCTGATTTCGTACACTTCATCATCAGTCAAGTTAAAGTCAAACAAGTCGATGTTTTGAGCTATTCTGTTCCTGTTGGTTGATTTTGGGATTGGTGTTAAACCACGTTCGATCTAAAATAATAAGATGTTATTATTTAAGTATATAATTAAGAGAAAAACTATGATTCTTATAAAGGTACTATAAAATCAATAGGGCCACAGCTGGATCTGCGAATATACTTGAAGTATGTTGCGTGAAGTATGTGGATTTAGCTGGCGAACTAAATAATTATTTTTATGTAATAACTATGGCCTTAGTCACAAATTATCATTTTTGTTTTAGTTATCTGATCACCGTGAAATACTAGGCCTACCCCATAGATCACCGAACTAGACTGTCTTAAACTATGTTTATGTACATCCAATGAATTATATAATTTTGTGAACTTGACGTACATTCTAACTCGTATAAGATCTACTTAAGTTTCTCTTTTATGTAGTATTCAACTACACAGCGAACATTCGAAAGGTGTACCTTTTAAAAGCATTTATAAATTCATCATGCACACAAACTTCAAGCATAGTCATTTTCATTGCTTTGGATGACTTTAAACTATCTTATGAGTAGCTCTGTTTCGTAGGTCGCTACTGTAGGTTGAAAACTTAGTCTTAAGGCACTGCAATATTTAGGACAAGAAAAGTTTGGGCTTAACTTTCAAATTCAACAATTGGCGTTTTTTTTAATTAGACCTACATAATTGGTCCTGTAATGATCCCTTGATTATAATCGTCCGCGTCGAAGTTTAGACAACCGAAGCGCTTTCGAAGAGCAAGCTTAAAGTTCTCTCTTTGAGAACTGGATCTTTTCTTTAATTAATCGATTTTCTCGTCGGTCTACAATGTATTACGTTTTATCTAACAAAATCCAGTGGTTGAGTAGGTAGTCTGTTCTCATTCAGAGATTCCTACCATCCGTTGTTCCACCGTTATTTGGGTGCCAACACCAAGAATAGCAGAGATGTCAGGTGGTTGTCTCATCAGATACGGCCACTGCTGGACATAGGCCTCCCCCAAAGATTTCCACAACAACCGCTTTTGTGCCATTCGCATCCAGTGGGCTCCAGCGACTTTGAGCAAGTCGTTGGTCCACCTTGTGGGAGGCCTACCTACGCTTCGCCTTCCAGTAGGTGGCCGCCACGCGAGAACTTTTCGTCCCCAACGACCGTCCGGTCTGAAAGCGATGTGTCCCGCCCGCCCCAGTTGTCAGGTACTGGTCATCATTATGGGGGCATTATCACATTTTGCGCATCCTCTTTTGGAAAAGGCTTATTGCTATTCTATTCCACGTATAATAGAGTCATATTAATATTATCAATACAAAGTTTGTGAGTGACTGAAAGAATAAGTGAATGGGTTTTTAAGAAAAGAAATAGCACTAAATCCTGGATTAAGATCCTCTAAATTAAGACTCTGGCTCAGCATTTTAGAATCTTATATATTCCGATCGTAATAAATAATTTGTATTGAATATGTGACTAATATCGATCACTATTGTTCCATAGTATTAAGTTAGATGTAATATTTCTATTTCAAAAGTAATTTTAATTTAAGACTTTGGATTTTTGAGACATCCGGCTGTCATAAACATAATTAGCATATAAATAATTTTTTACATACATAGAAAAAAGTAGTTGATAACGATTAATTTACTTACTAAATATCTCAAAACAATTTGACTGGTAGTCTTTCCATACTTGTTCGCCATTTCTACAAGTATAGGATCGTCTACACGAGGTGGGGGTGCATTAGGAACATTTCTGGCCACCAAAAAACCGAATGGACTGTACGCCATTACAGCTATAGCTAACTCTTGACAATGGCCGACTAATTCTTCTTGCGTTAGAGTTGGATTGACCTGAAAGAGGTTTTGATATTTTAATGTTATATGCTATAAGTTTTTATTAAGTTTAATTTCGTAATATAGCTTTATAAAGATTTTGTAACAGTTCTTATAGTTTGGAAACAAAAGGTTTTTATCAAATTCTAGTACAATCTTAAAAATTTTAAATATTTAGCTCGAAAGAAGTAAAAATTCAAATATTCTATTTTTTTTTACTCTCATGTAACTTAGTTATTACTTTTTTATAGTATTTATTTATCTTTACTAAACGTATTAGCTATTTAAATAACAATTAAATACGTTTTTATATAATTTTTACACAAATAAATAATTAACAAAACTTACTAATTAAAAAGGAAAATATTCTCATACTCAGAGCTTCCTGTTTGTACGAGTATACATACGATTTGAAATCTCTCAAGACATAAGTTATCTTTTATCCATGTTTTAATTTAATTTAATGTATTTTATGGCACATAAATATATAAATTAAAAAAATTACAGTAAGTTTTTTATATTTATAATTACCTCAACTTCATTGACAGCGGGCCAAATTTTACAGTTCGAGACCAATCTGTCGATTTGCGAGGCATTGAAGTTTGACACTCCGATAGACCGCGCCAAGCCCAGCTCCTTAGCTTCCTCCATTCCTTGCCAAGTCTCCAAGTAATCAACATCATCTGGACTACCATCGGCCTAGAAATCCCATAAATATTATAAATGCGAAAGTATGGATGAATGGATGTTTGTTTCTTAATAAAGCCAGAATGACTGAAAGAACTGGATGAAATTTGGCACAGACGCAGGTTATAGTCTGAAATAGCCCATAAATTACTTTTTATCCCGAAAAAATGTACTGTTCCCATGGAATATCCATATAAACCGTAAAAGCGTACCTAGAGACGTATCAGGGCGTAGCGAGGGTGAGTAGAGCACTAGTAATAAATAATTCATTTAAAAACTATATGTATAATAAATTAATAAGAAAGCGAAATCTGTACAAGAAATATTTTTAAAAACAATGAGTGTTACGTATTGTGTACAGAAATGGACCCCAAAACAATATTCATTGAAATTGATGTCTGTGTCTGTCATCTATATATCTGTGTGCATTTCACTCAAAAAGCACTCAAAAAGTATAGAACCGATATCAACAAAATGTTGTATAGTGATAACTGATAACCTATTTACTCGGGTCAAAATTAACGATACCTTTTACTACAGGAAAACTTTTCATTTCTTCTGCATAACTTCTCCTTACCAAATTTCTTAAAAATTTGTCCAGTGGTTTTCACGTGATGCTTTCCCAGACAGAGACGCAGACAGACAGACAGAGAGACAAAAATTTTAAAATCGACCTATATCGATAATAATGATAATAATATTATAATAATCTATTTCATTAAGATTTTCCAAAAAATATTTAATGTACAGATAATAAATAATATTTCAAATCATTTGTTTATACGAAATTGGAGCTTACTTTTTCAGCTTTAGGGAAGTGAATGAGATAAAGATCGACATAGTCCAATCCGAGCTTTTCTAATGACTCTTGAAGGGCGGGAACAACTTGTTCTTTGCGATGCTTATCGTTCCATAACTGAAAAAATATATATACGTAGTTAACATAAAAAGGTATAAAAATATTAACTAATATAATACTTTGAATTAAGTATCACATAACTATTACCAAAATAAATTAAGACGTATGTTTCGTCTACCTATAACTAAATGAAAATATTATTTAAAGTCGATATGTAAGTCTATAATATAATAATATATATTTAATATATAATGAATTACAAAAAAAACTGAACTAAAAATGTACATCAACTTCATGGCACTACCATCACAAGTCACCTCAAATGAAATTCCAGAAAAAACTATGCATAAGATGGTTTTTATATTGAAATTAATATGGGACTTCTCTTGAGGTATTTCTTACATATTTTTTATAAAAAACTAATTATACAAAAATAAACATACCTTTTTTATTAAACTCAGTCAAAATAAACTTTGCTACTAAATATTACTAATTAATTATTATAAATGTGAAAGTTTAGATGGTTGAATGTTTGTTACTCAATCACCCCAGAACGGCTGAACGGATCCGGATAAAATTTGGCACAGAGATAGATTATAGTCTGAAATAGCACTCGGTTCCCGTGGGATAGATTTGTTTTTGTTTTTATAGAGGCGAAACAGAGCGGAGTGAGGGTGAGCCGTTAGTGTTATATAAAAACTTACCTTAGTAGTAACAAACAACTCCTCCCTGGTAACCAAGTTGTTGGCGATCGCGTCAGCAATGCCTTGTCCAACCTGAGGCTCGTCGAAGTAAATAGCCGCAGTGTCGATATGCCTGTAACCAGCTTCTATAGCCCAATACACTGCTAGACGCACTTCATCTATCGGAGCTGACTGAAATAATTTAAAAAAATACTATTTTGTTTAAACACCTTACCATTATCTATACTAATGTTATAAAGAGTTTGTTTGTTTGATCGCTCTAATCTCAGAAACTACAAATGCGATAAAATAAAATATTGGACTTTACATAGACATGATATCTATGTATGTATACCTATATAAATAGGCAAAGACGAAACAGTTCAGTACCTTTCTCTCCTCTGTTTGTTAATTTTCGAACTTTAGTTGTTAACAATAAAAAAATTTAGAAAGTTTTTTTTTATATAATGATAATCGAATTTCAACCAATGGACGAACACTAGTACTCTTACAATAATTAAGATAAATATATATACATATATATATATATATATATATATATATATATATTAATATTAGTTTTCAATTCTCATTCGGAGTGTACTCATTGTGGTCGTAAAGTTACAAAATACCTAAGCCTTTTATTTATCTTTGTAAGTTGATATATGTATAATCAAGCCTTTCTATTTATGAATAGCAGAAACATTTTTTTTAGAACATAGCTAATAGGTCATACATTATGTAAATGTCATGAACAAGTTATTGCTTGTAACCACATAGAGGTCAACGTCCAGATCGGAACACGTTTGACGACTGAGTGTTAACTACACTGTCCACGTGCAAAAAGATATTGTGCCTATGAATCGAACATCATGTTGATCGAAAAAGAAATGAACTATCTATATATGTAGATAGTACTAGGTATACATGTAGATAGTAAAAAAGTTAAAGATTTAATTAGCCTTAAATTGAACTAGACCAGAGTTCTGCAACGCTTTTTATACATACAGATAAATAAAATTGAAGTGTTCGTTTGTAATATCAAAATAAAAGCTTTTTACTAAATGCATACCAATGATTTATTTTATATACGATACTTATAAAAACACAACTTTTAAAATTTTTGACTGTCTGTCTGTTTCTTCCGTCTTATCTCCGAAACAGCGGGACTTAAGGGTACTTTCACTGGCAGATAACTTTTTTATTTTAGAAGAAGATTTGGATTTTACTTAAAAAATAAACAGGAAAATCTTTACATTTAAAAAAAAAATGTCATTCCTTTACTTACTGAAAGATATATCTTAGTACCAATATGAACTAATTAAGATTCTTATAGATAATACGTACCCGGTACCTACATATTATGTAAATACATATAGGAAGGAAACCAGGTGCGCGATGGATTCTTATTTAGTTATGTCAGCGTGCTGCGTTTTTTAGTTATCATTATAATATTATCTACGAGTATATAAATAATAAAAAATTAATGCTGTTTATCGGTAATCGCATCACTTGACCGATGGAAATTGAAACATGGGACCGATTTTGCTTTTTTTTTGTTGAATATTCTTAATAGTTCCTAGTTTTCTATAATAAGATTTTTCTAGAAATATTAAAATCCCGGAAAATTTGGGACCACTGAGATTTTCCATTGAATTTTAATTAAAACTTATCTAAAACGTTACGCTGAATCCTAAGCCACTGTAAAGTAATTATTCTATCAATTAAATAGAATTATTACAATCGATTCTCAATTGTCGAAGATATCACGTAATACATAATACATATACACACAAAAATACATAAGACCGAATTGAGTACCTTCTACTTTTGAAAGTCGGTCAAAATTATGAAATAATAGCCGTGACAAATAACATTGAAATCAATTGATTAATTATTCAAGAATAACAATAATAGTTTAGATCTAGCATTCTTGCATATAATACGGGTTACAAAGTTGCAACTTTGTAACCCACTTACAAGCAGTAGGTATCCTAATGACTGTCATTCGGCTTAGTTTGTAGTGACCCTACTTGCTGTGCCAACGTTCGCTAGTTCGAGTCCCGCTGGGGGCATTCATTTGTGTGATGAGCACGAATGTTTGTACTCTAGTCATGGGTTTTTTATTTATAAAGTATACGTGTTTAAAGTTATATATGTGTAGTGTATCAACTATCTGGTATCCCGTATTCATAACACAAGCCTCGAAGTTTACCATGGAACTAGATGGTACTGAGTGTTAATATCCCAACATATTTATTATTATTTATTATTGTTAATGATACAAACATCTGCTTTATATTGCATAATTTAAGTTTTAGTAATAACAGTTATATAAAATTTTATGATCTATACATAATCTACTCAGTAAAAATCTCAAATTGACCTTTCGAGAAATATCACACGCCCCAAAGTCTAAATCACTGGGTGAAATTTTGCACAAGATTTCCTTATAATATAACAAAGGTGGAAATTTCTCAGGCGACTAAGTAGAAGATGAAAACTTGTATGAAAATTTGTCATTTTTAACCGACTTCCAAAAAGGAGGAGGTTCTCAATTCGTCGGAATATTCTTTTTTTTATGTATGTTCACCGATTACTCGAAGACGCCTGAGCCGATTTGGTTTTTTTTCGCAGGGTATACTTGCCAGGTGGTTGGTTCCATTTAAATTTTATCGAAATCGGTCGAGCGGTTTTTAAAAAAAAATCAACAATAAATCATTTTTTTAAATGAATTGCTTAATCGAATATGTTATTAAAACTTCCTTCTTACAATTTAAAATAAAACTATCTTTTCGGATTTTGTCGCGGATTTATTTGTATTTTTGTTTCCCGACGTTTCGAATGCTTTACAGCATCCATGGTCACGGGAGAGACTGAGGTGTTACATGTCTTAAAGATATAGTTGTTACAGACAGCCTACCCACAATTAACAAAATGAAAATTGCACCAATTACATTACAATATTTTAACTTTAAATATTTTTATAATTTTAATTATAATTGAATATGGAAAATTATTTATTTAATTTTTGCTATTATTTTTATAATTATTACAATTTTAAAAATATTAATTAGCAATCTATATTTAGTGTTGCCATTATTATATTTATAACCATAAGAAAAATATAAAATATAGTATTAATTATTTAAGCCACAATTGATCTATGTGTAATTTGAAAAAGTTAAGATTAATTAAAAAATAATAATTTTAATTTAAATTTGCTATTATTTAAAAACAAATTATTAAGCAACACGTTACTACATACATTTACAAATGAAAAAGTGAAAAAATATTATTAATCAGAAATGCTATCATTTTGATCTACACAGTAAGAACTTACTACATCTACCTGTCTGTTATGTTTAGATTTATTATTAGATTTTATTATATTAATAACAGGATCCCATGACGATGGTAGTACCCAGCCATCTTCCCTATTGAAATTAGGATGTTTTTTAATTTCTATGGCTTCTCGAAATTAAAAAACATCCTAATTTCGTTTTTTAATTTCTATGGCTTATTATGGCTAATTTAGTTTTTTAATTTCTATGGCTTCTCGAAATTAAAAAACATCCTAATTTCAATAGGGAAGATGGCTGGGTACTACCATCGTCATGGGATCCTGTTATTAATATAATAAAATCTAATAATAAATCTAAACATAACAGACAGGTAGATGTAGTAAGTTCTTACTGTGTAGATCAAAATGATAGCATTTCTGATTAATAATATTTTTTCACTTTTTCATTTGTAAATGTATGTAGTAACGTGTTGCTTAATAATTTGTTTTTAAATAATAGCAAATTTAAATTAAAATTATTATTTTTTAATTAATCTTAACTTTTTCAAATTACACATAGATCAATTGTGGCTTAAATAATTAATACTATATTTTATATTTTTCTTATGGTTATAAATATAATAATGGCAACACTAAATATAGATTGCTAATTAATATTTTTAAAATTGTAATAATTATAAAAATAATAGCAAAAATTAAATAAATAATTTTCCATATTCAATTATAATTAAAATTATAAAAATATTTAAAGTTAAAATATTGTAATGTAATTGGTGCAATTTTCATTTTGTTAATTGTGGGTAGGCTGTCTGTAACAACTATATCTTTAAGACATGTAACACCTCAGTCTCTCCCGTGACCATGGATGCTGTAAAGCATTCGAAACGTCGGGAAACAAAAATACAAATAAATCCGCGACAAAATCCGAAAAGATAGTTTTATTTAAAATGTCAAATATTCGCGTAAGTCTAAGAAAGTATTCCTTCTTACAAATTACCTGCTTATTACGTCTACACAAAAATAAAAACTTTTCTTATATAAAAAACTTACTTCCAGGCACAAAGTATAAAAAATAACTAAACGGGTTTATATTAAATTAGATTTGTTTTGCATCCGCTGGCAGTTGGCACCGACATCGAAAATATCTGATTAGGTATCTATTCTAAATGAAAACCCCCGTTTAGTTATTTTTTACAGTTTAGTGCCCGGAAGTCGTTTTTTTTTAAGTTTTTATAAGTCATAAATATGGAAATTAATGTTTACACTTCTGGTTAGATCGCCATTTGTAATTACATAAAACTATAAGTTATATAATATATGCAACTGGGACTTTAATAATTATATTAACATTAACGAATAGACGCCAAATTAGTGGTGAACGTAGTTTTATGTCGGTTTTCTCATTTATAAAATGTTTTTTTTTTCCTCCTAAAATTCTAAAATTTTAATTCCTTAGCGATATTTTTTTTAAACTATGATGCCTTTTCTTAGAATATGCCTAATATATTTGTCAAGGAGACCTAAATGGCTAAAAACCTACATATCTAAACTAATATTATAAATGTGAAAGTGTGTTTGTTTCTTTGTTTGTCCTTCTTTCACGTCGAAACGGAGTGACGGATTGGCGTGATTTTTTTGTGAAGATAGTTGGAGGGCTGGAGAATGGCATAGCCTACTATTTACCGTGGGAGATTATCTCATTTTCACGGGAAAACTCGTTATAATACAACCCGAAAATATTTGGGATTAGAATTACTTGAAACTTATTTATATATAATTATTAATGCTCTTCAATATAATTGAATAAATACGTGTTTTAGCATTTTTCTAAATTCATCCCATAAGGGGGTAAAATAGGGGATGAAAATTTGTATATAACTTACCTACCTTTTTAGAGTTTTTTGTAGTTTTAGCGTGAGCGAAGCCGCGGGTTCCGCTAGTTACAATATATTTTAATGTTTTATACATAAATATACAAAATGATATTAAATATTAAAAAAATATACATAATTTCACGAATTCTTACCTCACTAGCAGTGCCTCGTCCAGTTCCAAGAGCAACAACTGGCATTTTGTTGCCATCGTTGAGTTCGATGCAAGGCGCTTTACCCCCTAACTAAAACAATTATTAATCATCAATATCATCTTAAATATAAATATAACCTTTGATTTTATAATAAAGAAATATAATATATGTTGAAATATCTCCGTCAATAAATAATTCTAATAACTACTATTTAGTCTTGACATTAAATTAAAAAAAAATGTACAGACATTGTTATTATTTTTTAATTTGTTATTTTATGAGGATGCAAAACTAGTTTCACGTTTTTGTGGTCCTTGATTTTTTTTAATTCATAAATGTAAAACTTAATATTCTTTTTGAACAATTTTTTCCTTAAACAAGACTTTATGTACCTATACCTAAGTGTATTTGTGTAATTTTGCTCATTATTTTATATTCATTAACATATCAACTGTAATCAAAAGTACGGTAAAAAAAAGTTAATAGATAAATAGATACATTAAAAATCGAATTAAATGTGAATTTTATTAATAGCTTCAAAATGGTAGCACAGCAAAATCCATATCTAAACTTCCATACTAATATTAAAAATGTGAAAGTATATTCGTTTGTCCTTCTTTCACATCGACACAGAGAGACGGATTGGCGTGATTTTTTGTGTGGAGATAGTTGGAGGTCTGGAGAGTAACATAGGCCGCTTCTTACCGCGAGAGATTATCATATTCCCACCGAAAACTCCTTAAAATTCAACTCACGATAATTCATCATACCTATGTATGTATATATGTAAATGTATATAATATATTACCGACTCACCCTCGCTTCGTTCGGGTTCGTCCTTAGGTACTTTTTAACGATTAGTATGAAATACAAATCTTTGAATTTCTCGCTTTTCTGTACTATAATATGCATGTATTATAAATATAAGCCTTACTCTTAAATCACTCTATCTATTGCTGAAAACTGCATTAAAATCCGTTCAGTAGTTTAAAAAATCTAAGCGAACAGACAGCAGAAGCGACTTCATTTCATACTATTTAAAGATAATCTGTCTATTCCATACTAACCGCTAAGGTGTACCTAGGGACGAATCCGAGCGAAGCAAGGGTGAGTCGCTAGTAATTTAATATATTTTAAGAAGATCTACAAATGTAATATAATATGATTATTATGTTCTCCTAGCCGATCTAATTGGAATAACCAACTGCGCAGAAGATATTATAGTGCACAAGTGTACGCGCAGATCAAGTGCACTCTCTATTCCTGTCACTCTCATACTCCGATGGGACGACTGCTCGAACCGACCAGTGAGAGTTAAGGCGCAGGACCGACGGCTTTACGTGTTCTCCGAGGCACGGGGGTGAAACACCGCCAACTTCCCAACTCCGGGCTGTTACTGAGGCTTACTATACAGAAAGGCTCAAATAACTAAACTTGGCCCGACCCGGGACTCGAACCCAGGACCTCCGAGTGCGCAGCCGTACATGCTAGCCACTACACCATCGAGGCAGTTCAATAAGTAATATAATAACAAGATTAATGTTAATGGCTACAAAAACTGCCTATTCCATATACCTAACAAAGAAGTTGTAAAGTAATTTATACAATCTATTTTACTGAATAGAATAATTAACTAAGATTTGTAATAAATGATCTTCCTCAAGCTTTAAATCTTTGAAAGGACTGAGTTTTTAAATCGTGTAAGCTCTGATTGCTCCACTTCTATCTTACACCATATTACTTATAAATTCATATATCCAAGTCCATATGAAAACCTGTTACAAATATTTAGTTCTCGCAATATTTAACTTTCTATATTGCAATATTAATTACAAATATAAGCTACCCGAATCAGTCTAATCTATCTAGTCAGTGACCAGCTTTTAACCAAGTAGGTACCTATAATCTATACATATAATAAAATTGTAACTAAGTCGAATCTGTACACTAAATATTTTTTGGAAAATCTAATTGAAATAGACATTATTATCGATACAGAGTCTGAATCTATAGTTTTTAGAATTTTTGTCGGTCTGTCTGTCTGTCTGTCTGACTGTCTGTTACCGCATCACGAGAAAACCACTGAACAGATTTTGATGGAATTTGGTATGATGATAGCTAATTTGGTATGATGTTATCCGGGTCAACATATATGGTACTTTTTACCGCGGGAAAAATATCTCATTTCTGAGAAAAAATGCAAAAACTGCATTGTAAGAGTATACTAATATATAAAACCTAAGAATTTGCTTTTTGGTCATCTGAACGCGGGCGGAGCCGCGAGCAGTGCTAGTATAGTATATACCTATGTGCATTTTAAAAGAATGCCAGAAAATTCAAGTGAACAAATTTCATAATATAATAACACTTTAAAAGAAACAAATGTAGACCAAAACAAATCAATATGTTTATTGCTTGTTAGAGAAAAGAAAAAATAAAAAGTCGATTAATAATTATTAAGGAAAAATAATTCTATATATAAAATGCAAATCAAACAATGTTCTAGAGAATTTGATATTTCAATCGTGTCTCTATAATACCTTCATTATCGTATTGAGTAATACCCAACGAAGTAAAAGTCGACCTTTGCTCTTCTACAGAAGGGGCTGAGATAAAATATCATACATTCTGCAATCGTTGAAGAATAGAATTTAATAATAAAATGAATATATGTAATCGTTATTTTATATTATCATAATAAATTACCATATTTTATTTTAGACTAGCGATTTATTCTCGCTTTGCTCGGCTTCGTCCCTATAGTTACGTTTTAATTTTTTTTGCGCGGAACCCTGATTTTTATAAAATAAATGTAGCCTAAGTTGCTCCATATAATATTAGCTACCAGTGAAATTCCCGTCAAAATCAGTCCAGCCGTTTCGGAGGTTCGCCGGAACCAACAGACAGACAAAAATTTTAAAAATATTTTTTCCTATATGTAAATACCGTATAAAATTTCATGTACAGTTAGTAAAAAGCTGTTATTTTGACATTAAAGACAGACACTTCAATATTATTTATCTGTATAGATTTCTATTCTTTATCAGTTGTAAAATGACATCTTGTCTGAGCTTGTGAGTAGAATTCTAAAAAACACCCAAGAAACTACGGTACCAAAAGCTAAAGTATTTTCTCTTTAGCTCTATGTATCCGTTAATTTCGCATGAATATCTACTTGATTATTCCCTCAACGTAGTCTTTTGTTCTTGTAACCGATTTTGCTGATTACACATAGAAGTAAAACTAGTTTTATTCCTACTGGTGATTAGTTGACATTCTACAATGGTTATCGCTAATAGAGAACTAATTGCAAAAACTATTTAAGTATAATTACAAAAACTATTTCAGTTTTAGTTACACGTTTTAGTCCGTATCATAAAAACAACTGAACTGATTTTGATGAAATTTATATTATTCCCTAAGCTGAAATAAATGGAAGCAAATAAAAAAAGAATGATCACGATCTATTTACTACTTTCGGAGAAATGCGTGGACAAACATACATAAATACATACACCTATAAAATTTTATACATATATTTGAAAGCCCTAATAGATTATCATATGTTAAATTTCAAGGTTTCAATAGTATTACATACAAACGTGTCGAATTGATAACCTCCTTTTTTTGAAGTAGGTTAAAAATCAGAAGAAATGGTCATGGTCATAACATTTTACAATATATATTTTTTTCTATTTACTACATCAATAGAAGAAAGCCATATAATTGGCTATGATTTAAATAATAGATCACTCATCGCTTATTACGAGTATATCTCAGTCAATTTTCTTTTTTTAAACTAACTAAATTAAACTACGTATACATGTATATATTACAAGGCCTTGAATAATTTAAATTGGACTTTTGATGTTCATCTATTTTTTATCACTACTGGTACAAAGATTATTTAAAATATTATTTTATTTAACTTTGATCATTTATTTTTTTATTTATTTATTAGGCAAGCCAACGCAACATACAATGTGATATAAAACTAAAAATATAAAACAAATTTAAAAAGTATTACACTGTACATCACACTTACAGGCTAGCTCAACATGTAATATAATAAGGCGTTCTCTACTTCCAACCCTAATTCCCACACCCAAACAAAAAACTAAATTAAAGATAAAAAAAAACAGTACAAAATGAAAATAAAAACAAAATTACAGCCATAAACAATAAAAATCATTACTATAATCTACACAACCATTATAGGTAATACATACAACACTCACTCAAGATACCCTTACCATTTAAAATTTTTGAAAGCTCTAAGGAAAAATGACTTTTTTCCGACTAAATTCCTGAAATAATAGATACTTTCTAAGATTTACGCGAATATTTGACATCTATACATATAATAAAATTGTAACTTAGCCAAATCTGTACATTAAATATTTTTTGGAAAATTTTATTGAAATAGTCATAATAATCGATACAGAGGCGGAATATACAGATTTTAGAATTTTGTCTGTCTGTCTGTTACCGCACAACGGAAAATCCACTGGAGAGATTTTGATGAAATTTGGTATGATAATAGCTGGTTATCGCGATCAACATATAGGATACTTTTACCGCGGCAAAATATCTCATTTCTTAGAAAAAATACAAAAAACTGCAATATAAGAGTATAATAATATGTAAAACCTAAGAATTCGGTTTTTGGTCATCTGGACACGGGTGGAGCCGCGGGCAATGCTAGTTTTAAATAAATATATCTTTTCGCATTATTTCGCGGATTTATTTTGATTATTGGTTTTCTAAAAACCACCAAAAATTAAAATAAATCCATGAAATAATCCGAAAAGATAGTTTTATTTAAATTCATAAACATCATCCTATCGGTAGCTAGTCTTCGTAAAATGTTCGTAAGATTGTAACGCGGTGAGGGACTTTAATGCGTAATATGTATTTATACTCGTATCAAATGAATTTCAAAAAAAAATAATTAATTAAATTAAATGCTAGAAATATTTTATAAGCTAATTATCCCCGCGAAATACTAAAGAGTAAGAAGATTTGTTTTGGGTATCAACTTTGTGACGAACCCGACGCTAGTTTTATATAAGCTTAATTTTTTATTCTGTATACCTACAGATAAATAAAATTGAAGTGTTTATTTGTAATGTTAAAATAACAACTTTTTACTAAATGCACGTGAAATTATATAATTATATAAAATACAATTTTTAAATTTTTGTCTGTCTGTCTGTTTCTTCCAGCTAATCTCCAAAACGGCCGGGGAAAAACTTAAAACGTACCGGAGGACGCAACCCGAGCGAATCGAAGGTAAGTTGCCAGTTTTATATAAGCTTCATTTTTTATTCTATAACATGACATTGACCAAAGAATTGTATTTGCATATTTGAGATATGTTTACTTTATTTAAATATATAAATTAATCTTGACCTATAAAATTATAATTTCAATTTTATATTTTCAAAATTACTTATGAATTAAGAAATAATATCCAAATAAATATTTTTCTTTAAATTTGACTATGAAAATCTCGCAATTTAAACGAATGTAACAAACCCTTTACATTATTTACCTAACCGAACGAGCATTACCCTCCTTCTGAAGATGTCGGTTATAAAATTCAAAGAAAAAAAAACTTCTTGTACACTAAATTAACGTGCCATACATATCTCATTAAGCTCCCTTTTACAAAAAAAACACAGTATTAATTTCTTAGAAATATGAGAGCTTACAAACTTTAGAACATTAACTATTATCTAAACTTAATCGAGATAAAGAAATACCATAAAAATTACGTAGAAAAAACGCAATATAAAGTATTATCGCAAAAAACATCATAAAACGACGTCAACAGTCCATAGAAAAAAATTTAATTCAGTACTATTCTACAAACAACGGAATTTGTGGTAATATGTTTATTAGCTTATAAAATACTTACAGTGGACCCAAAGAACAAAACAGCGATATACAAAGTCCGCATGTTGACCGATCTAACGCCCCGATCGCACTGACTAGTGCCATCTCAAATGATCATATATACACTATGTAAGAAAACACTGCAAGGACTATATAAGTAATACATATAGATATGTACATAAGTGCTGATGTGTATCTAAAATAAATTACTTTTTTATATATCACAATGAAAAAAAAAGCTTTTAAAACTTACTAACTAAACAAGTTTATCACTGTTAATGAACAAAAAATGGCTTAAAGCTAATATTGTCATAATAAATTAATAAAACACAATCGTCTCTACATACTAATGAAATGTTCACACCAATAAGTGATCTTTTTCTCTAGGAAAATTTATTCCGTAGGAGCTTTTTATCTCTAGGATGTTTGATTCTGCTAATTCAATTTTCGTTCAGTTTTTATCGCATTCTTCTATTTCCGTGATATAACATACCAGCGGCTCACCCTCTACAAACAAAAACAAATCTATCCCACGGGAACCGTACATTTTCCGAGATAAAAATAGCCTATGTGCTATTCCAGACTATAATCTATCACTGTGCCAAATTTCATCCACATCCGTTGAACTGTTCTGACGTAATTGAGTAACAAACATCTATCCATCCAAACTTTCGCATTTATATAGTAGTAAGATTTTCTTTCCAATCTCCATAGTGCGTTTTTCGTTGATGTAAGTGTTAGTTGATGAAGTAAAGCTGACTGACAAAGAATATCAAAAGCATTATTTCTCCCTTATCATATAAGAAACAAAGACTTAGTTACTACGAAGTTTTTTACTTTCCTTTTTAGCTAGCAACATACCCTCGTTTGAGTGGAGTGTATGCTAAAGGCCTTATAGTCATAGTAGCCTATGTGTTACTCAAGTATTTATTCTATCCATGTCCTAAATTTCATCCAAATTGTTCCAGCCGTTTCATTTGAAATAGTAACAATCATATACATATACAGATATGTACTCGTAAATCGTAATACATGTTAAAGTGGCCATATAGTTAACCTGGCAGTGTGTGCCAGCACTTCCCCTGTACATGTTCTTTTACTGTATAATTTACCTAAACCATAATACGCCATAGCCATAGGTATAACCTGGGAACTGCTTAATAAAATATATAATATACACCTAAGAAAATAATACATATGGCTTCTTATAAGAATTCGCAAATTTTAAATTATTTCAACACTTCGTAATATTATCTCAAACCTATATATAAAATATTTTTATTTGTAGTACGTACAATGTTTACTGTTGCAAATAAAAAAAAACTCAAATGTATTCTTAGTACTTTTTTATTCTACATAGTACATACTGTTCGGTACTTCCTGTTGTAATACACATACACACATGTATTAAAAACTAGCGACTGACCCTCGCTTTGTTCGGGTTTGTCCCTAGGTTGATACACCATACAAACTTTCATCCCCATTTTTAGGGATGATTTCTGCGATAAAAGTATCCTATATTCTTCTCAGGGTCTCAAACGATCTTCTTACCAAATTTTATCTAAATCGGTTCAGTAGATCCAGATATTACCTCCTACAACGTCACAAAGTCACAAATTTTACCTCTTTATAATATTAGTATAGATTTAAAAAACCCCTAACACAATAAACAGCCTTTTTATTGAAATCATTTCAATGAGCCTAAACAGTTTAGATTTACGCGAATGTGTGACATTATTAAATAAAACTTCAGTTTTATTTAATAAGGGCCACTTTAAGTTTGTATAAAATGATAGACCGCGTATTACCAACACACGGTATTATATATATTTTATATAATAATTTCATAGATTTTATATATTCTGTATGTCTTTGTAAATACTGTAATAGTGTGTAAATATAATATGTGTCCCAATATCTATACATATAATAAAATTGTAACTAAGCCGAATCTGTACATTAGATATTTTTTGGAAAATCTTATTGAAATAAACATTATTATCGATACAGAGGCCTAACCTATAGTTTTTAGAATTTTTATCTGTCTGTCTGTTACCGCATCACAGAATAATCACTGGAGGGATTTTGATGAAATTTGGTATGGTGATAGCTAGTTATCCGGGTCAACATATAGGACCCTTTACCGCGGGAAAATATCTCATTTCAGAGAAAAAATACAAAAACTGCAATGTAAGAGTATATTAATATGTAAAACCTAAGAATTTGGTTTTTGATCATCTGAACGCGGTCGGAGCCGCGGGCAATGTTAGTATATATATATATAAATATAAATATATATATATATATATATATATATAAACTATTTACATAGAATAAATGAATATGAAAAAGTATAAATGATATTTATATTTAATATATAATAAATATTTTATTATATATTAAATATAAATATCATTTATACTTTATATAATAATAATACTTATTTTAACCTGAGAGAGGCGTTACGTAAGTTAGACTACACTTTTATTAAAATGGTGTGCATAGGTCTTTGGTATTTAAATTTAAACGGTCTTTTATAGTTCAAAATTATATCATATTGTTATTGTTATTACAGATATTAAAAAATATAAATTTGTTATTAGAAATCAACATTTTTAAATATAGTTGCCAATAAGTCTATAAACTTTCATGATCATTGACTATTTATGATGTAAAACGGGATATTTACCATGTTTAACACTTACTTTTGAGGTATACGTGGCCGTCGCCATTACGCTTGTAAGTGCCGAAATATAGGGAACTCTCAAAAGTAAGAGAACGACATTAAAAATATTCTGTTTTACATCAGAATAATATAGTGGCTTATTCTTACTTGTTATTGAATATAGCTAAAGGCCCTTCCAAAGGTAAAATTTCAATAGACGTTGGGTATTTACTTAATAAAACTATAACGTATTACAAAATAATACTTTGCAAAGTATGTTAATACTATTATCTACACCTTGCTTTTGATTTATTATCAATTATTTTTCATATAATAATTTTAAAAAATGCATTTAATACCTTTTGTAACAAGAATAAATAGAATACTAGTTAAAAAATGGTACTGCATGGAGCTCGTCAAATAAATAAATAATCAGCTCGTGTCTGATATTGGGCTATTTTGAATGAGACTAACCATCTACGGGGAGCTATTATAGTGTTCAAGTATACAAGCGCCTTTTCTATGCCTTTGACCTTTCACTTTCACCGGGGCCGAATTACCTATGCCGGGGGCCTCTAGGCAATGCAATGCTCAGGGCCCTTTCACCCTTTTCTAACTTATAAAATACATTTTTCGTAATTACGCTTTTAGGTAGATTTCATAAAAACTAACTATTGCATTTGTCCTCATGGTGGAAATTTCACGTATTTATTATTTTTTTAATTATATTTCACTCGATATTATCATTTTCAAGTTTTTTCTCCGTGCGTGGGGCCCCTAGCCCATGCGGGGCCCATAAGCAGTTGCATAAACTGCCTTATGGATAATCCGGCCATGACTTTCACACTCTGGTGGAACGACAATTCAAGATGTTAGATGAGGGATAAGATATAAGACCAACAGATTTACGTTCTCTCCGGGGCAGTATGTAAACATCGCCAACTTCCCAACTCTGAATGATAACATACGTTTTATTCTTGTTGCGATTCCTGCTAAATCTAATATGTCTCTGACTGCATTATACTATGTTTGTACGTCAAGTTGTTTCTATCGTTTTAGTTCACTTTTTATTCTATTAAACTGATTGCAGTTTATTTTTACATATTTTTTTGTCCGCTATAAGTCCTTATCCTTGAAGACTAAAGGCACGGTAATGTAATGCAAAATATATTACCGTGCTAAAGGTGGCTATATTTTTGACCATATCTAAGAGATGGCGCGTAAAAAGGACTCTGTCACTTTTACTAACCTAAAAACTAGTTTTCAATACATGACTTTTCAGACATTTCATATTATGTAATCGTGTGTAAAAAGCATAAGTCCCGTATTATGGATGTTAGAAATGTAGACGCGGGTATAGCTGCAGAATGCTGCTAGTTTAAATTAACAAAATAATATCTAGAATCTAATCTAGATTGAGGCTAAACAATATTATTACAAAACATACTTATTGTGAGGATTTATATACTATTCTAAATAAATACATCAAACGTTTTCGATTCTGGCTGTCTTTTTGCAAACTTTTGAGATCTGACAGCGTTCAATGAACTTTTCATTATTTAATATATATAATATTTATACGTGCTATATTTGTCCCATTATGTATTATGTACATATTTATACTGTTGTCTATTAATATGCCGTTGACACTCAAATCATATTGCTCGCGTGCGATCTTTATCCATTATACTAATAAGAGTAATATACTTTTATTAAGAACACTGAGGAGTACTAGACTATTTCATTATTAATTTTTAGTATCTGGGCGACCGAGCTCGCTCGGAGTTCTTTTTTCTTATATCGTATTTTTAGATGATAATTTATATAACTTAAAACTAAAAACTTGAATAAATTTTAAAAAAGGACAAGAAATAACAAACGTAAAATTTTTGTACCTGATCGGGATTCGAACCTGGACACCTGTGAGTGTCAATCTTGCACCTTGGCTGCTTGACCACGATCCTAGTGCCCGAGCGTGCGAAATTAGCGACCTTATTTTGCGTGAAATAAACCGAAAGAAAACCGCATGAAAGCTCGAAAACACGTATTGTCTCAGAAATAAGACTAATCTAGATCGATTTTTCGCCCCCGAAAACCATCACATACAGCGAAATTATTATAGCCATTTCCGAGATGTTGTTAAAATGCTTATGCTTATATGCTAGATGCTTGTTTAAAGGTATTATTAGATAGATATTATTCTATCAATTACTTAGCAACCATTGCATTTATAAAGTACTTTAATTTTAAATTATCTATAGTTTCATATTTTTTTATAATGGATTAACACGCGCGTTTACTAATTAAATGTAATCTCTACTAATATTATAAAGAGGCAGAGTTTATTTCTTTTTTTGTTTGTTTGAACACGCTGATCTCAGGAACTACTTATCCGATTT